CAACGGAAGAATAACGCGAGATGCCCTACTCGCAACCGACCGACGAATGTAACCTAGAATCCTGTTGCATTTGGCCACCGTCGCTTGCGGTTCGTCAGCACTCCATACCTGCATTACTAATGGCTGACGATATATACCTTAATTTAGAGGGAATAAATCAGCGTCTTCTGGTCAAATGCACAGATATACGTAGCAGGTTTGACATCCGTTCCAACACCAGAGTTCAGTGATGGTTAGAATGGAAACGGTAGCAATAAGGTGCAGAAAATGAAAGTGGAAAGCGTTCGCGAAATGGTTTTCATCCAACTTCATTTCTTCGAGTTTTTAGCCATGAAATAAATATACTGTATAGTAATGGTGCCCGGGCGGCGTATATGCCAACATATATATTTGCGTACAACATGCAGTAAGCAGGTTATAGGTATATTCTCATTCAAAGTAAAATCATGAAGGCGCACTCGACGTCTCCTCCATACCCTCTTCTTTATCTCATTCTATTACCTCGATAACATGGATGAAAACATATCTGGCGTTTTATATACGAAGGAGGCATCTCCATGGCAAATTCCAGGAAAAAGATTAGAGAATTTCCTGTTTCACGTCTACAGAATCTATTTGAATTTCCCCCCTGATCAACATCCAGTTTTCTCAAGCGTGAATCTTCTACGCTTTCTTCCTACACTTCCCTGGTGTGGATTAGTTCATGAGGCTGAATTGCTCTAATTGGAAAGAATGTTCACAATGTGTCTGATCCCAAAGCGGGAACTGTCAGGAGAGCTAAATGACTCATGCAGTCAAAGCAGAAGCGGAACGTCGTTGGATGCAACCAGAGGATTTGTGTCCCTTCGAGTTTTACATTCAAGCAGTTTCCATATCACTCAAATATGTATTTCGATAGACTCGGCATCGACAGTCTCAGTAATTCGACGCTTTGGTTTAAGCCTGCTGAAAGTCCCTAAATTGAACTAGAACGTCATTTTGCCAGATGGCATCCTGGAGGTGGCTGTCCTCCACCCGGCAGGTGCATCGCGTTCTCCCTGCGCCAACATCTCTCTCTTGGGTCCAGAGTCTGGACCCGCATGGCGCTGTCATCCGCATAGTGACAGCTATCATCGTTATGGTTGAGATAAGGAAAGGCGTGAATCCAGCACGTCCATGGAAATGTCTACACACTTTTCATATTCTACCAGATTATACGACCCCCAAACGCAGGAATTCGTCTTCCATCCTTCAAAATTAATGCTTAAAAAAAAAAGAACCTTAGGGCTTAGAATTGTCGATCCCTCCTGCCGACCTCTTCGACTTCACGTCGACTGTTACAAAAGGGTCCCTGAATCTAACGTGATATTGTCGCTTGAATGCGATATAAAGAATATGCATGAACCTCTGACGACCTTTGAATTCGTGAAAAGTTTCCCTACTTGCTGCGAAGTCATTACTGCAGCCCTTAAATGCCAGTGAAACCTCGAGGAAAGAAGATGTCTCCGAATGTGAAGCCTTCCCCATGAGGGAATAAAGACAATTCTTAGTTCATAGTTCAAGAAAGTACTTGGTATTTCATGCAATTCACTGCCGCATTTTTTGCATTCGTTCTTCCCGTGTGACGACGTTCGTTTCTTATCGTGCCTCTGCATGCATCAACTTGTACGGTCGTCATCGAGACCATTTTGAAACGAGTGGGGAAATGCAAGAACCCCATCGCAACAACGGTAAAACTGCACGAGAGGTTATGCATTCCAGCCTCTCGTTTGTGCATTTTGTCACGACTCGAATGCACATGCGAGTTTGTGGAACATAATTCAAAAATGCGAAACACGCGTGTCCTTAACTCGGACGCTTCAGATCGGTAGGAATGAGTTGGGATTTTCGTACATCATGTCCAGCCCATCGGTAAACTCATTCATTCCAATTCACCTTTCGTGTCGTAAGTATTGGATTCGCTTGACGATTTCGCTGTCCCTGGAATAAAGACCCATGCTCCTCTGTTATTCCTACACGAGTGACACCCAGCTTGCGACCGAAGGGCAAATAACGCATACTTTTTTTTCAATTGCCTACTTCTCGTGAATGATGAGCAAAGAAGCCAAAAGGATGTGAAGAACCTTCATTCTTCCCTCGAACTTTCGAAAGAAAAAGACGTGAAACTTGTTCGAAATGGAATCGTGAGCTGGCGTTTATCGGCCGCAATCGCGACTGCTGTAGATGTAGTGGCTTCTGCGCTGCCCACAGCTAAGGGAGAGGAGAGATTGCGGCTATCCGGCTGTCGTAAACCCCGATATGCATTATCTCCAATTCTGTTTTTTTTTTTATGCTCACGTTTGAGTGAAGTGATCCGTGTTTGATCGCCCTCAGGTCCACGTCGAACGCAATGTCGGCCCGAGACACTTCACGCGTGAAATGAGAAATCGGTTCGGATCGTCTTCTGCTAACGCAGCAAGCACAGTCAGCGATTAATTTTTTTCTACATTTTTGCTGCTCTGGCGCAAATTCGACGTGCAGGTCGAGCCGTATGCCCGATGCGCTCTCTATTCTGTACCTTACTACACTTACTTACTGTATCATTCGTTCCTAATTCCAGAAACGTTAATCGAGGTCACTAAAAAAATTAAAAAGGCAACAGACGAACCTTCGATGTAACTTATTTTGGAGATCATGAGGACCTTCTCCCGTCACCGCAATCGTGCGACAGATAGGATTAAATTAAGATCCTTGAGGAATAACGGAACCCGATGGGCGACGCGATGAGCACGGCCGAGAATCCGAGTCGCGTCGTCGAGACGGCGAGGCGATCGATCCTTCATCACCGCGTTTGCAACGAGGATATAAACATTCTTAGTGCTTGTATTTCGGCTGAGTGCACTTACGTAAGTAATTAAGTAAGTAAGAGGGAGTTGCGGAATCGCGAACCACCTCGGCATCTGTACGAATAGATGCACTTAATTGCACAAAATCATTTCATTCTCACAAATTAGGTCGAGCGATCGAAGACTCGTGGGAGCAAATTTGATTCGGTAAGTTCTAATATATAAAATATAAAAAAAAGAAGGAAGATAGAAAGGGATCCAAGAGGCCATAGCCGCTCGGGAAGGAGCACGACGAGGTCGAGCGACGAAAGCGAGATGAAGCATCCAGAAGAAACGGAACTGCTTCGTGCCGGAAGAGCAACTTCCGTTCGAGCTGGAGCCAGATGGAATCCAGGAGTCGACGAAGAGTTCTTTGGAATGCGAGCATCGAACGAGAGAAACCAGAGTCGGAAGGACGCGAGAGAAAGCTCGTCCGGCCAAGTACGAGTGCATGCGCTATATATTAGTGTTTTTCACTCGACTGAGACGAGTTTTCACTCGACTGAGACGAGTTTTCACTCGACTGAGACACCGATGCGTGGGGCATCCATTTAGGAGGCGAGGGCGCTGATGCTCATGGTGACGAGCGAAATCTCTCCTTCGAATGTCGGGGCGTCTCTCGTACGAATCCGACCATGGACTCGACGATGATGACTCGGACGCGCCTTCCCAGATTCACGCGAGACGAGCCCGATCGAGCTTAAGTGTGTTCGGCTCGAGGAATCGTACTTTAGGACCCAGGAACGATACCAAAAAAGTGTCCCGTTTTATCGAAAGATCATTAAGGAAACCAGTAACGGTAAGAAAGAAAGTATGGTCTTTTCACGAGGGCATCAAACGACCGTTTGAATTCGTGGGAGGTTTCGTATCGATCTTTCTTCGGCAGGAAACGAATGACCGTCATCGTCGCCGTCGCCATCGTCGACGTCGTTCGGCTCCTCCGGAGCATTTTTTATCGCCTGCTTCCTCAGACACGGGTGAAAAAGTGACCTCACGTGTTTTACGGCCGCTTACGCAACGACCGACTGCGATCTGCGTCGTGGGGGTCACTGCTTTTGACGTCACGAGATGACGTCATCTCGTATGACATTCCCGATCGAAACGATCCAAATAGTCGACGAGCGTACTTAGTGGCTTTTGGAACGTGATGAGGGTACGGTCGGGAAAGTGACATTCGATCGGACCATCCCAAATTAAGTTAAAGGACAACATGGCTTTTTTCAGGAATGGACAGGTTAGGAGACCTTGATGGATTCGGGGATAGGTTCTCTTTCTCGATTGGGTCGAGAAAAGGAGAGTACGGGGGGGGGGAGGGGGGGTAGGGGGGTAGGAGAAGGCGTTTCAGCCCCTTGGCCCTCCATCGCGTTCTTCGCCTCATCCGATCGACGGAAGGAGACGCTGTCCATCGCGATGCATCGTGGCTTCTCCGACGCGTCACGTCGTCCTTCCAGGAAGGTGCAAAAACGACCAGTATTTACAGATTGGGATTGCGAATGGCGATGGTGTGATGGCGATGGAGTTGGGAGTCTCCACCGTTGCTCTACTGTGGCGAAAAAATAAGTCGGAAAAGGGGACTGCCATCGACTCTCGAAGACGGAGACTTTACTTCCACTCGCTTGCCGATTCCTCCCGAATTTTCTCCCGACGTGGAGAAAATTTGCACCGTTTCCGGCAGAGCGAAATCCAAGGCGTGAGAGAACCTTCACGGAGCGACGAGATCCCTCGTTTTCATTCCAACTCGCAACGATGGCAGATCGGTGATAAAGGTTCGGACGGTCGTGGCTGTTAGCTTTCCTTCGTCCGAGTGTGACGATTATTTTTTCATCTCAACATTTGTCATCGACGATGATCTGTCGGCCGGGATACCAGTAAGGCCTACGTTCGAAAAGGACCGTCGACCGATATTTTTTTCGATCCTAAATCCTCCCGAAAGATGCCAAGCTCGTCCGTTTCCACCTGCTCCTTCGACCGTTTCGGGGTGACGTCGTTCCTTCTCGAGACGACGGACACCGGCTCTCTTTCTTCGAGATCGCCGAGTTTCCTTTCCCGGTGGCCGCGATTTCCTCTCTCGATTTTTCCCGTCTTTTCGAATCCGAGACGAACGCTCCGCGCGGTTCCGAGCTCTTCGCCGATCTCCGGATGCGTCTTCGGGGATTCCAATCGCTCGTTCGCGATTCCGATTCGGTCCTCCGTCCCGATCCGTGGAGAATGGCATTCGTGCCGGATGCGATCGGCTTCAAAGAGTAGCCCTCACGGTGCATCGTCGTCGAAGCCGAGTGAAAAAATCTCTAACCGAAGCGAGAATCGTCTCGCTACTGACGAACGCGGCGTAGGAACGTCGGTGGGCGGTTCGGTGTCGGTGGCCCGTTCGGTGTCGGTGGCTCGTTGCGGGAACCCTCCCTCGGTCGTCGCACTTCGGTCCGCCGTGAGCTTCCTTCGTGTCAGCACGCGTTTCTCGCGTTCTTCGAGAATGTCGCATTTCGAGCGGCGTGCAAGCACTAAATTCTGCTTTAAGCTCGGCAAGACGGCCATCGAACGACACGAAATGCCAACGACGATCTACGGAGATGGTGCCGATGCAATGGGGCCGATGCAACGACGGTCGTGCTACGCTCCCGAAAGGCGCTTCGAGTCGGGGTCTGGCTTTCCCGTGCTTTTTATCGTCATCGCCTCGCCCTCGCTCGCGTACGATCCTCGGAAAATCTCCTCGCTCTTCGTCTCTCCGCCGAACCGATAGTACGCTCTTAGAAAATTGCGAGCGTTTGGGGAGTAAAGAGTGAGCACACCGTGAGCTTTTCGAATTTACTCTCTTATGACTCGCCAGATGCTCCCTCATCGCTCGTATCGAAGCGAACACCTTCGAGTTCTTCGCCGGGCCACCAGATGGAGACGAGGGTCTCGTTTTCGCACGGTACACAAAAGTTCCCTTCCTTCTTTCCCTGGAATCGTCCCTCGCCGGATTGTTTAGTACCTTGCCGTATGTCTCGCCTCGTCTCATTATAGGAATCAATAAACACGGACATTTCATCATTTGTTATCCACATATTCAAGACGCATTCATAGAGTCCATGCCATAAACGAGCTCATATTCCTATCGAGAACCCCCTTGGATTGCGGATACTTTTATCCGCATGGTAGATCTAGAATGCGTAGAGAGTTCCGGTGAACTTGAGTCCCTCATACTTCAATAAACGAGGTGGTAAGGACTGATATTCCCGGACTGCTCCACGGAGCCTATAAGAGGAGATCCACCCCCTGACGTGTGATGTAATCAGTACAGTCAGAGGTAGGTCGACGCATGTATGAGAGAGATAGCGACGCACAGTATATAAGGAATTTTTCGCATTTGCACGACATCCCTATCACTTTCTGATGAAAGCGTTTTTACTCACGGAGGAGGAGCGCAATTTTACTCCTTCGTGATGGAGTAAATTTGTTCCTTTCCCAGAGTGAAAGGGGGGTGAAACTGGAGTTAGCTATTTTACTCTGTTTTTTGAGAAAAATCGCTCCCCTTTTTCTAAGAGTGTAGGTCGTTCGTGTGCACCCCGGCGGCTTCGCATCTCTTTCGTCTTCTCGTCGCCGTCGGCGGGGTCCCTTTTTGTTCTTCCTTTCCGTTCCGCGACCGTTCGCTCCGTCTTCGAGCGGTTCCTCGGAAAGCGGAGAGACCCGGAACGCCGGTTCTCTCGCCTCGAGGTCGGGTCCCCTTCCCTCCGCGAGGTTCGAGATGACGAAAGCCGAGAGTCCTAAAGGAGACCGTGCCAAAGTGGCGCCGGCAGAGACCGCGAGAGTAAGTGGTGACGATCCACGCCGATGAAATCACGCCGGATTTTATCACGCCGATGATATCACGCCGGATTTTATCACGCCGATGATATCACGCCGGATTTTATCACGCCGATGATATCACGCCGATGAACTCTCACCGGATGCATAGGTGACCAACCCAAACGCTTCCGAGCAGGGTTATGGAAGAATTGTTCTCGCAATTTTGATGCCTAATTTCCCCCAGGTTGCAGAGAACAAAGAATATCCTCTCTTCATCTTCTTGGTCAAATTGTCAATTTCATCTTGTAGATTAATTTGTCCATTTCATATTGTAGGTGTCCTTTCTGCCCCTGGTTTTGGCGAGAATAAACATGGATTCCTGAAGTAAGAGGTGTGGCTTTTTCTTTGCTGGTGATGCATCGTTCCGCCGTAAAAAAAAAATAAAAATAAGATAAGCTTTTTCAATGAAATGGAGCGTAATCTCGAGCAGAGAACTAACGTCAAATTTTGTGTTAAACTGGGGAAATCCTCAACTGAAACGCTCGAAATGTTAAGAAAAATTGATGGCGATCATACCATGTCGAGAGCGCAATTTTTTTGTGGCATAAAAGGTATAAAGAGGGAAGAGATGACGTCAATGACGACCAGCGTTGTGGATCGCCTATCACCAAAGGAACACCTGAAAATGTCTCAAAAGTTACGGTTTTGGTGTGTTCATGTAGACGGTTGACAATTAGAATGATTGCTGAAGAGTTTAATTTATCTAAAGAAACTGTTCGAGGGATTCCGACCGTGCCCTCGTCGCAAATGCAGAAACTCGTATTGAAAATAGTCAAAAGTGACACAAGGTCCAGAATGGGTTGACATCCCAGCAAAAAACATGCACGAGCTCCAAAGAGAGGTTTCTCACCTTAGAATGCAGAGGACAAAGTAGGAGGATGTAGCAGGGCGAGTCTGAGGTGTAGAGAACTTTTGTTCAATGACCATTTATTATACTACATGCCCTTTACAGGAAAAGGATACAAGATGGGAGGAAGTGGAATATACAAGATTGGTTATTGACAGATGGTGCTTCTTTAGAGGTTGTTGAAGTCCAGGTCTTGGGGTTGGGTGGGTCCGCGGCCAGCCACCAGGTGGTGTTGTCAGGCCAGGGGTTGCTGAGGAAGGTAAAAGTGTAGAGAACCTCCCTCCCTTCCCTTTTATGCTCGGAAACGGAACACTCCCCCTGTGATCCCCAAGGGCGCGTCTCCCCGTTCTATTTTTATAACTATATTTCAACTCGTGCCAGACTGTCTTTGCAGTTTGTATACCCCTTTCCCATCGAGTGCGAAGGGGGCAAAGAGATCGTTGATAAAAATCGCCCTTGGCAGAGGTGAACGGGGACGTGGCCCGATCGGGGATCCGTCTGGAATACGATCGGTGGGGAACTCCTTGGGACCGGGAATTCATCTACGAATATCTCTATTCGTTCGAAACACAGTTAATACTGGGTGTGTCGGATCGCCATGTCAGCAGCCCAGCAACGTGCTATGAACAGAACTTTTCTCGTGAAAGATCCTTTTTATCCATAAAAAAGAAAACCATTCCTCCATTTCTCCCTTCTGTTTGTCCTCCGACGGCAAGAGGACCACGGACGTGATGGCACGAGCGCCATAGGGTGTACGTGCATGATGGCAACGATGGGCAGGAGGGTCATACTTGCAACTCCAATTTGTTAAAAAAAAAAAAACCTGACAAGGGGGAAAGTGCGTGTACAGCTTCCCATTCTCCCCTCTTTCGTTAAGCACTCCGATTTCCTCGTAAAGGCACGATATCTTGGATGCTGAATTCCGTCGACATATGAGGAGAGACGCAAAATGAACTGCGGAATTTACTTCATAGCTAGGTGCAAATTTTACGGCAGCCCAATCGTCATTCGTAGGAACCCTTCGAACATCTCTGCTGCTTAGGGTATCGATTTCACACGTATTACATTTGGTAACAGCGAATTCAGAGATGACACAAGCTCGTATTCGGTCCGATGAACAAAGATTATCGGCAATCCTCGAATTCAGTCATATATGACCGACAGTCACATGTGACCAATTTCTGCTCACGAGATTGGGAGATTCGTTCTCTCTTCTCGACACTGAAAGAACATTCAGCAGAAGAGGGAATCCTGCTCAAAATCGCCTAAGTATGGCACCTGCTGGCGAACCGTGAAAGTCCCTTTTCCGTGAATTTTGTCATGTATTTCAGCACGGCAGAAATTAAATTTCCTGTAGCAAGCCTTTTGAAAATGGTGAATTTGTTGGCAAACTAATATCATGTCGACGGGCAGGTGCTGTCAGCTGTTGTTGCTGCGAGGAATTAATTCACGAGGGAAGCTTCCGATTGCAGTCGACGCATCCTACAATGTAATATATAATGAAGTAATATATTGAAGCTTCTTCCCGTTCGTATGTCGTCGATGCGATGGCGAGAGGAATTTCAAGGTTTTCGAATCGTGCGCAATTGGTTCTCGAGGCAGTCCTTTCGGCGGGAAATAAGTTGGAAAACTCGCGGGTTTAATAAATACCTTCTGAAGTATGATCTTCGCGACCCAGTCGGACTTATTTAAATGACAGAAGCACTTGAAGCACTTGAAACGGCCCGAGTTTCGAACGAACAAGAAATGATTTATTCCTTGAATTCGGGGTAATTTGAAGCAGTGGAACGGCGCGATTTTGCCTCGGTGCAAAATCCGAAAAATTCCTGGAATCCCGGCAGGCACATGCATGTTTCACCGTTCCCGTCCGACGTGCATTCGGCGTTACTCACGCACTCGGTCGAGTCTGCGCATTCCCCTCCGGCTGGTATTTCTGTCGAAAGGAGTGAAAGTAAAAAATGAACCGAGAACGTTTTTCTCTGTAGTTTTCCGCATTAAAAATGTGTATTCCTGTTGCCTTCGTCTGGAAGGTGACAAGAACGGGTCGGTGTTTTGGCAATAGTTGTTCCATATTTCGTTTTTCCTCTGAACGATTCGTGATGTTCACCACGGTGTTTGGGTTCAGAAATGAGGTTCCTTTCCCATATGCCGGTATAGTATTCAGTGTCGTGAAGAGCATTTACTAGCCATCAGGTTAAGTCAGGCTATCCGTGACACATTTCTCTCTCCTTGGATATTGCTTTTTTTATTTTCTCCTTCCCAGGAATCCCATGCTCTGGGACCGATGCAAGAGACACCGAAGCCCCTCGAGAGCGACAAGTCGCTTACGACTGACGCGTGGAAAATCCATTAGAACATTTTCTTTAAAATGATCCAATCGCAACTTCTCCGGTCAGAAAACGTCGAATATCACCGCTTTTCATCGGCCACACATTCATGATACGTCACCTGCGGCACATAGGTTCCCTTGGTGGTAAATGGGCTCCTTGCATTCAATCACTCGAGAACTTCCTGGCCGTATTCCAAATCAAATACGAAACCACTCGTCCTAATTTGACGTGCAATTAATTTCTGCTACTTTCATCTCACGACCCATTGCGTGAACTCGTTCGAGAGTATGGAAATCCCTTTCATTCACCTCACGGTTCTATAATACAGATTGGTGGTGATAGCACGTATTGAAAATGCTACCAGTATGCCACTTGCATATAGGATGTAAACTCACTGCAATCGGCCTGCTCCTGCACGAAGCCCATGGAGCACTGGCAGGTCCAGACCCCGGCGTGTTCCAAGCAGTCGGAGTTCTCGGCCGCGCACTCCCGGCCCGGGTCGCATTCTTCCCCCAGGAACGGCATCCCTGCGATGGGACTTTCGCAAATTTGGGAGTCGACCTTTGGAAAGGCAAGAGCCAAAAAAACAACCGACTGCAGATTTCCCCGTCTTGGACGAGTCCCTCCTCGCATTGGCACGTCTGCGAACCGGGTTCCCCGACGCATTCGGTGTTTTCGGCGGTGCACGGCGCGAGTTCGGGGTCGCACGGCTCGCCCAGCCCCGGGTTCCACGCCTCTGTCGCCACGGATGGGAATCGGAGAATCGGTAAGCAGAGATTCATTCACCACTACTACATTTAAGAAAGTTTCACGACGAGGAAATATGACTTAGTACGTAAAACACCTTCAGCTCTGGCGATTTGAATGGACTGCGCGATCGTAACGTCATATGGCGCGAAATGTTAAGAGGAAGGAAGTACAGAAATCTGATCGAAAGGCTTTCAAAATGAAAGCATACTATTCCGAAATTCACTATGCGCACTTGTGCTAAGTCGACCAGCGAGACCGCATTCACCACACCGGACCCCACTCACCACAGTTGTCTCCTTCCTGCAAGAATCCTTCCATGCATTGGCACGTCGCAGAACCTGGATCTCCGACGCACTCTGCATTCTCCGTCACGCAATTCTGTAGCATCGGATCGCAAGATTCGCCCAGCCCGAGGTCATCCTCTGGCACTGCAAAACGCCCGGTGAGAGTGCCAAATTCTCCCCTTACACGATTTTTGTCGATTCGTATTTTTGGGGGTGAACGCTTTTGCCGCGAGTGATTGCGTCTGGGCGATGGAACTTTTAGATTTTCCATGTCTTTACTGGTCGGGAATTTCCCAGAACCTTTCCTTACAAAATGAGACTCGCCGAGCTTTCCATTTCGCATTAAGCAATGAAATTACACAGGAACCGATGATATTTCACTCCACAGCCACCTCGCCATGTGCCAAAGAATTTACTGCATTTTCCTCGCACACAGTTTGGAATCGCTCGTTCTTAGAACATTGTTGCCTTCCGGGGCAGACGCAGACGATCCATGCATGCCTCGAACCACCTGGCATCCTCACTTTCCAAGTTAAAAGAAGGGATCGGGAACGAGAAGCAGCAGCTCACAAGGATGCAGCGGAGGTCGCAAATAGGCAAATGACAATGGCGAGGTCTAAGGAAATGCAACCTCCCATGGAAGTTTCCATTCTCACCCTTCATGAGCAACATGCACCCTTTCCAATAGCCAAACTGATCATGCATGCACATCAGTGCAGAAAGTAGCAAACTCTAACACGGGAATCTCCTCCCAGCTTAATAATGAGTCCCTGCTTGGTGTCTGCAGGATCCAGATCGTGTGATGAGAGACTCGTGATATTCAGGAGCCGTTATTAAGGAAAATCAGTGCAGCTATCGTGGCCGATGAGGCCGATATCGTCTAAGCGACGATCGTCATCGAAAGAGGAGCTGCGTCCGACTCTGCGACTCCATTCCGATTCAGGATCTCAAAATATTCTTCTTCGGTAAGTGTGACGATCATCTGAATTCAGCTTGCCTCACATGTCATACATTTGGTTATTGGCATTCCTGATTTTCCGTCTTTCTTTGGACTATCCAGCATGTTAGTTCTTGAAAGACAGTTTCTCTCGAATCAACATAAGCTCGTGATGGCGCAACACCCGCGACTGCTCAAAGTTTTTTTTAGTTTTCAGTGGTCACTTGCTCGTTTGCGCAGTTGCGTTTGGAACTCAAAATCGTTCAAGCCAAAAGTAATTATTGGAATTTTTCTTTAAAAAAGAAAGTGGCAAGAATTTCACGGATTCGCTCGATATCGTCAACTGTGACAAACGCATATTTGCACGAGACACTGGAAAGTAGACTGTGATGAGCTTATGATGACTCACCTGAACCTCGAGCTGACATAGCTATCTGAGATGGCCTTGTCTGTATATATGTATATAAAACAGGAAGATAACTGAAAATGAAATTATAGCGAAATGAACCTCTTAAGTTTTGAAAGCTCTGCAGGATCCTCATCAGAGGCACGGTCCTGCTAAAACTTTCAGCATAGATAGATCTTTTTCGGAATTCCCGACAGAGCGAAGTTAAAAGAAGCGGAAAGGATATGGCCGAAAAGGTGTCAGATGACTGCATCCACTGCTCAAGTCCATCCCACAACCACCAGAGATGCCCATTCCATTAGCTGGAGAGAGCTTACGCTCATGTGACTGGAAGGCAACCGGTGCAACGTATACTGTAGAGATGGATGTGACGGTGCTCAGGGGAGCAGCCAACCTCCAACCAACAGCCAAAAAACGAGAGATCAGAGTAGACACTACACCGGTCTCTCAGAGGTTCTCTGCGTGTGTGTTAGTGTATATAGGGTTTGAACGTGATTATGCAGCAATTGAAATTCGAAGGTCATTCTGCAATCCGTCTCACCGCATTCTCCGAAGTGCTCCTGGAATCCCTGCATGCACTGGCACGTATCGTCGACGCACTCCGCGTTTTCCACGCACTCAACGGTATCTTGGCATTCCCCACCCAAGGCTACCTCTGTGCAAAAAATATCGCGAATCCAAGTTTTAACCCATCTGTACCAAGCTGAGATCTGTGCCATGGATTAATATATAGGTCTCCTAGAATGACTATAGTTATCATAGTGCGAACACATTCTTAGCACATAATTATATACATACTATTATATATGATAATACACAATAGTATAAAATAACATTAATTAATTCGTAAAACATGTCATCACTTATCGAGATGTATATTATCGATGTTAAAGCAGTTGACGTACGCGAAAGTGATGCAATTGCACACCTTTTAATGAAAAAATAAAAAGCTGAGCGAGCTGAGATGAAACCTTCATGCGAGGATTACCAACAAAATGTGTTGAAAACCGTTGCCGCTCATGATGAGGCTGCCAGAGAGTGCCTAGGGCTAAGGGGTCGGTGAAAACAATTACAATTAAATTACATTTAAGCATCAGTTTCGTTTCAATAAAATAGGGGGTCTTCTAATATAAAGTCTTTTTTGCTTCTCGCCATCGTCCATAGCTGTTGCAGGAATCCGTATTACAAATTTCCTTCTGGATTTTAAATTTCTTGCTAAAATTCCGGATGAGACGGATACATAGGAAAATAAGTACACCTCATATTCAATGAGCTCTGCGAAGTTAAAAGGAGAATTTAGAGCAGCAGAAAATTTTTCCTGAAACCTTTTTTCCTTGCATGAACTCACTGCATCGTCCGTTGACTTCTACGTGTCCGTCGTTGCAGGTGCACACGGTCCCGCCGCCCATGTCCGTGCACTGCGCGTCGCTGACGCACTGCGTCGAGTTCGTGCAGGGGCCGCCGGCTGGCACCTCTAGGAGGAAATATTTTCCTTCGAGAATCAAGTTCGATCGATTGCATTCGAAGCATTCATTGTCGATTGTGGCGGATATAACGGTATGAGTCTTTTTCCTGATAAAGTCGTCCATAAGTTGGAAATGGACTTTCGTAAACGACAAGGGAGAAGTTGATATTTGATGTCTAGGTGCCGCGGCACAGTCCCCTTTTCCCCTTTCAGTCTTATGATAATCAAAACACATATCGGTCTATGCTCTAGATTGGCAGGGTTTTCCCCATCGAGAACGTTTTGTGCGTCACGGTTTCGTGACAAAATTTCAATTTCCATGGCACTTTTAAATAAACAGGTCTGTGCAACTCTGGCCAGCTGGTGTTTCTGTCAGTGGAACAAACAACCATTAGCCGATTCTCATCCTTTTCTCCTTGTTAGGACCAAGTTGACTCTACAACGAAAGATTTTGCTTTACGAGAGATAAATAGTTGTGTAATTACAGCCATCGGTAACTGAAGACCTTCGTTACTGTCGTTCCCAAATGCAAACGCCTTTTTTCATGGCACAAAAAAAATTTTTTTTGAAGACTGACTGCCGAAGGAAAGCCTCCTGGCTTTCCTTCGGCATGACACAACTTGGATGGAATTTGGACTTCCTGTTGGGAACATATCCATGCGCACTGTACCGTAAGCACTGTGAAAACATTTCCAGCGAGAGGAGAGATCAATTCATTCAAAATGATCGGAAAATGGGAAATTTTTCCAGTACGTGCACATTTCCTTGTCCTTAGCGCAGTGCGCATTACTCACGTATTCTTAAGAACTCTCCGGGCAAGATCTGCCAGTTGGCATTCCTGTCAGCGGAAGACACAACCATTTGCCGATTCTCATCCTTCTCCTAATTTAGGAGTAAGTTTATCGATGAACAGGTCAAGATTAAACGTCCAGTTTCGGGACAGGTTGACCGGTCGAGGACAAATCGGAGTCGCTCTACTATTTACCGTTGGAACGAAAAAAGCGGCAAGATTACGAAGTCGAAACTGAAGAAATCTGGAACCTCCTCGATCCAATTCGACCCAATAAAAAACGTAAAAACCGAGGGGAAAAAGGTGATCTCACTGCAGACTCCCTCGTCCTCCACGAACCCCGTTTGGCACCGGCAGGTGGAAGCGCCGCTTCCATCGTCGAGGCACTCCTCGTTCGGGCCCTCGCAGGGGGCACCATCCGGGTCGCATGCCTCCCCGAGTCGAGGTGCTTCTCCTGAGCATGCAGCACAGATTCTTATCGGCTCAAACGTTTCTCTATTTCAATGCTTTCAATTCCCACGTTAGAGAAACCAAACAATTAAAAAAAATTAATTTAACCTTCAATCACTGCTGGATTTCAATACTTCCTGGTAATTTTTACCTGTTTTCTGTCGTCGGGACTAGGCTGCAGAGATTGGTTAATTACTAACTAGGAGGAAAACGACAGAAAAATTTTGCCTCATATTAATTCCTATGAGGTTTTCGAACGATAACATCCTTCCAGAGTTTTATGGACCGACCTTCGAAATGTATTAAATGTTTCTTAAGTCAATATGGCCTTAATATATGCAGACGCAAGGAACACAATGAAAAAATTCATTTCCGGAGTTGCAGCGAACCGAGAAAGCGAAATCCTTAGTGGCCTCTGAGACGCCTCGATCCGTAGGTGTGGTGTTTCCTAAGGATTTTCACGATATCGCGAAAGGACTCGAGAATCTCCGGTTATAAATAAACGGAATATCAAATTAAATCTAAGTAATTAAAAAATGAATTTGACCAATATCAATTTTGCCGTCATGACAGCTATCGAGCCACGTGGGGAGTAGCGTAGTTCCAACGTTTCCCACGAGGATAACGAAGACAAGCGCGAAGGTGCTCGGGGGAACTTTTACTTTACCGGAATTACTCCTGAGTATTATCTCATCTCAAGATCCTGCTTGCGGAGGAGTACTTTCCCCTGAGCCTCAGATAAAAATCTGGGATTCCCCTCTGTCTCTCCCCCCCCCCTTTTTTTTCCTGGCTCTCAAGTAAACAAAAGACCCTTTAGGCAAGCATCAAGTGAAAAAGCTATGAAACGAAGGTGAACGAGGGAGAAACGATCAGTATGGGATGCAGCGTAAGGACAGAATGCCGCGAAGCAAAAGGATAGAATGCCACGCAGCGGAAGGGTCGCAAGCGAACTCACGGCAAAGTCCCGATTCCTCCAGGAATCCCTCTTCGCATTGGCACGTTCCGGGCTCCCCCAAGCAATCTGCGTTTGTCACGCACTCGTCTGCATCCCGACACGGTCCGCCGACCTCCACTTCTGCACGAGATGAGATTCCAGTAATTCATTTTTATGAATTAATATGAGATTTTCCAGCTCTCTGCCTCTTCGATGAAACTCACTGCAGAATCCACGATCGTCCACGAATCCATCCAGGCACGAGCAAATGAGCAAGCTTCCGAAGCCGTCGCATTCCGCGTTGCTCACGCACTCGAGCGAGTCGGAGCAGAGGCCCCCAGGTGGCACCTCTGTCGGGGAGCCCACAGAGACAATTTACATCTGCTCTTGCAAGCTTGCAAGTCTCATCTGCCCTCATCTACAATACTTTTGACCGAGAGCAAGAGTGGGGCGCAAATACTCATTAGGCAAGAAGTACGATGAAGTTTACTCAAATTTTCTTCGCAGGCCTGGCCTTCGAAGACGGATCGTCCACCGACCTCAGAGACTCACAGTTATTTCAACTAGACGCAAAAAACGGATTCAATTTTAACATTTATTTTAAAGAATGGTCGAGATGCAGCCGAGAAAACCCCCAAGGAGAATCCGATCCGATCCCCCAATTATTCCGTCCGTCCCGAATCCACCCTGGAACTGCCGAAACCCCCAGGAAATCCAAGCGGAATGGGAAATAAAAAAAGAAGCCATCTCACTGCAGTTTCCCCCATCCTGCACGAATCCATGGACGCACTCGCAGGTGAAGCCGCCTGGGTCTTCGCCGACGCACTCCGCGTTCCAGTCCCGGCAGGTGTCCACGCCTGGCTCGCAAGGCTCCCCGAGTCCGGGTGCTTCCCCTGAACGGGCGACCCACAAATGCGTGTGGGTCAAAATTCTCGTCGGTTCAAGTGTGTCTCGATTGGATTGCGTTTAATGTCCCTTTATTCTTTTTTTTATTGTTTATTTATTTATTATATATGTGTTATTTTTTAAATATTTTTTTTTTTAAATAGAGAAATCCAGTCTTTTTTTGTTGAAAGAGTTAAAGTAGGGCCTTCGATCGTTGTGGAATTTTAGTACTTGTTTCTCATGCGGGACTCCGCAGGACTGGCTTATTACGAACACGGGGAAAATGATCGGAATGATTGCCTCGAGTTCGTTTCTTTCATTGATGATCGTTGAAAGAAAGCATTTCTTCCAGGGTTCTACAGGCCGACCTTCGAGACTTAAATAAACGTGACTGGAATAAATATGATTCGAGTAAATATAGCTGAAACACGATCGAAACACGGGTAGTGAGCTCAACTCGTGTCGGTCGATTCCAGTTGGACTCACGTGCGTCGACGGATCGGAGAATGCTCGCGGACGCGGCGAGGACGAGAAAAAGATTCATGTTGGGAATCGCAGTGGGGAAAGCGGAAATCCTCGACGGCGGCTCGGTCTCCGCAGTTTTTACGCCTTATTGCAGTTTTTGCTATCTTTTTTTTGCGAGCAGGTGCGGCGGTTCCGATGGGATTTTTTCGCGATGCGCGGTCCAAATCCCTTATTAAAACTAAGAATAAAAGTTCTCAGAATTTAGACTCGATGAAAACTCCCGGTTTCTCGTGACCGGAGGTTTTGCAGGTTAAATCCAAGTCCCAACGCTTTTACGACGGGTTGAGATTGCTTTCGAGCCCTACGAATGTGCTGAACCCTTTCAATTTTTGCAAATGAATTCGCTGTCGCAAAATTTGCATCGGTCTAATAATTTTGCGCAAACGAGTTCTCGCTGAATTTTCGCAATTCCCATCCTCCGGGCCGGAGCACTTAATCGAGGATTTTTTTGCACGTGGCAAAAACTTTAGCACGTGGTTCGCACCCATCGGGAGGATACCAAGGCCTCGCCGATTCGCACATGAAACGTCATCGATCGATGAAATTTCACCTTTCGGCCAGAGAGTTCCCTCTGAGGCCTGATTGAGGCTTCCCTAAACGCAATGCGAACGAGCAATGCTGGAAAAGTTTAAACGCGATTTGCGCTCTATAACGATGATTTGGAAATTGAAAACCACTGAACTAATTGGTGCGAAAATGCCAGACGGGTTCTGTTTCACGAAATGATTCACGACTCACCGCTGCTCGGAGGTCTCTGCGTGCTTCTCCTCGTCCCGTCATTTCCAGTCTGAGCTGCATCGCCTCATCTCTCCCTCCTGGATTCCTCTTTCGTAGTCGAATCCTTTGATCAACTTCAATTCTACCTTAAACCACCTACTCCACAGCCCCCTATTGCCTCTGCTGGCATTACGCAATTTCCCACATCTGCTCGTCAAACTTATTGACGCGATGCTGGAATTTGCAAACCCTCTCGAGTCCATTTCTTTAAATGTTCCTGCGGACTCCGGCATCCGTGCCGGAGACGTCACATCAGGAAGCCTTCGCCCTGTAACACGTGCTAGGCCGGTGGATGTCTTCCTGGGATTTTTCTTATTCTCAGGGAGCTGCATTAGAAAAGACAGGTGTTCGTGCATTCATTTGAGGAGAAAAATAATACTCTATCTGCAACTGTGCGCCTTGCATAACGTGAAATTCCTTTAGTGGCTTGGGGTAAAAGAAGCATGCATTACCACGTGGAACGATATTTCACTATTCAAGATTCAAGATAGTGATATCAAGAGGCGATTTCGCCCATTTCGATATCACGTGTCGAGGTCGAGCGTTCCTTAATTTTAGGGTAGACCTAACCCTCTTAAAGCTAAATATTAAACTCTCTGGATAGGGTTTGTAAGTCAGACTTGTGGCCTCAACGCCGATGACGCAGGCTGCCTGACAAATTTCTAGGATAAAATATAAAAACGGTATGGGAAAAAGCCCAATCACTGGAACCTGTTCTAATGCACCGAGTCTGTGTTGCAGTCACGTCCGTGCTGCAAGATGTGAGGTGCCAACAGCTAAAATACAATGAATTCTGATCTTTTTTCCTTCCATTGGGTCAGAATTCAACATATTGTCTCAATTTGTGAGCTCCAGGCAATATTGTTCACCTCCTTCTCTGTTGCTGCCAACTTCTTTACAGCAACTTGAAGAGGAAATAAGAATATATAAAAATTCCAGGACAATGGAAACAACCAGTACCTAAATATCAAAACCAAATCTCTGTCTGCTTAGAACCAACCAAGAATCAACCTTTGCTGCAACTTGACAAAAAAAAAGCAAATGCTGATGCAAAACATTTACATCATAAACTACAATCTGCTGACTTGATGTAATTATACTGACTGGAAGGGGGGAATGAAACAATGAATGAACCTTTGACAAGTTCATATTCTTGCAAAAACCTGGATTTAGGCATAACCATAGTTAAATGACAAGAATTGTTATCACTCCCTGGAAAACATCACAATATCCAGTTACTGTATATGTGAAGTTCTTCAACCTTTCCACCTTTTATATGAAATCTCCCATCATTTCAATCATTCAGAGGAAGTTCCATAGTCATTATGCATGCACTTGGTGAGAAGCAGCCAAATTGGTTACCAACCAGTGAGTGACTTCTTTTCTTTCTTTCAAAGAAATGAATACACCTCTTGTGCAAAATCCTTTCAAATAATAATGGCCTTCACCATCTGGATATCAAGGTAATTTAGTGGTATCAAGCGGCGATAACACCCATTTGGATACCATGTGTCGAGGTCGAGCGTTCCTTAATTTTAGGATAGGCCTATTCCTCTTGAAGCTAAAAATGTTTGTATTTTTTGTGGGTGTTTCTTTTTTGTTAGCATATCCTGGTTGCTTACTGCCTATTCCCTTAAGTCAACATTGCCCCCCTTTTTATATGTCCATACGGAGAAATATCTAGTTTCTTCTTTAACCCTAAAAGTGCCAACCGTCGATAAAATCAACGTTAGTAGGCAACCGTGCTGCTTCTGGCACTTCTAGTGTTACAATAGTCACGTCCACGCGTTCTTCTACATCTTGTTACGTCTGTCCTCAGTCGCTTGCGCGTGCGAGGATGACTGAGGATGACTAGAGGTCTTCGTTGATAGAAACTCCTAGGTCTTTCCCTCCGTTCGCCTCTCCCAGTTTATCCTCGCCAAACGCGTGGAGAGACATACCGTTATTACGACCGACGTAGGGAACTTTACACTTACTTTTATTAAACCTCATGAGACATTTCTTGCTCCACTCGTCCAAAAGACTTAAATCTCGCTCGGCTCTAGCCCTATCCGCCTCCCCCCTTATGGTAAAACTTATCTTGGTGTCGTTGGCAAATTTATTCATCATACCCTCTACACTGAGATCCAAATTGTTTATATAGAGCAAAAATGAACGATGAATGTACAGAACTCAGCCAAAAGCTTTGACATGAAAGCTGGGTGATAATTGCACATAGTTATTGCCTATCGTTAATCCATCACTAGAATATTGCAGGTCATCAATCAGACCTGCTCTGGACACTGATTCAGGCATTTTAGGCCTAGAATTGGTCTCTCCTTTCAACGCCAATGCCAACGTGTCATTTGTACATGTCATGAGAATCATAGGCCTAATACCATTTTATGAAGTAATTTCACTTCCCTGCATGCAATATGGAAGTAACCTTCACAGTATTGAAGGCAATATAGTTGTGAATCACTTAGATCTCACATTTGATTGACTTGAACCCTTAGAGCCATATCATGTATCATTCCCTGGATTTATTTTCTCTTCTTGATTTTGAACCATGAGGAACTCCTGATTTTACTGGCTCATAATCTGACTCTAGTAGAATTAGTTCTAGCCAGTAAAATCGCCTGATTTTACTCTCTCATTTACCATCTATCTGTGTCTTACCAATAAATCTCTTGACCAGTGTAAGAAATAGCGACACACTCTGTTGTAGGTTAACTTGGTTGGCAGTTTCTCACAGGGCACAGAGTCAAGAGCCTTTGAGAACTCCTAGGCCCTTAAACCTGTCTGAGCACACTGATACAATACTTTTGCTCAGTCATGTATGCTTCAGCATTGTTGTGTTATGCATAAATAACTTGTGGGATTTGTGCTGTATGTTGGTTTGGGTGTCCTGTTAGTTGAACTTAGTGCTTTTACATGGAACAATGTGCATGGTTTTGTTTTCCAATATGAGAACAGCTCTCTCACAGCAAATATCTATTATGAAGTGTTGTCAGGAAGGGATCACCATCATCTCTAAGCAGTTTTCAAAATCTCTCCATGGTAACAAGTGGTATCTATGGGGAATGCCTGTTTGATATAGATGGGATTGGTTTGGTTATGCATTTCTAGCATAAAGATTGCTGTAAACCAGGGGTGTCAAACTCAAATCTGTCGGAGGGCCGCATTCCCTTCCCTGCAGATGCCTGCGGGCCGCACCCATAATTTTCCACTGAAATTTGTGGTGACAGTCTATTCAAGCAGAAATTTCTCAAACACACGGCGGGCCGGATGAACCACCTCCGCGGGCCGGATCCGGCCCGCGGGCCGTATGTTTGACACCCCTGCTGTAAACTGAGCATTGAGGACCTTCCCTATTTCTGTTATGGAGCTGACTATTTTACCTGTCACTTAGTGCTAGGATGGTGGCAGCAAATTTCAGGGAAACATAATCATACTTGATTTTTTGTGAATATAATGATAGAATATACTACCTTTGGTGAATAGTCTGAAGTGTAATCCCCTTGATGTCAGTGATGAATGATAATATGCAGTGGGTCATGGGACTGATTCCTATGACAAGTCATTCAGAATTAGCTTAGCAGATTTATGTTCAAGCAATTCAAGCAGTTGTTTATTAATTCCTGATTTCTTCAAGTGGCAAAAGCCTGATATGCTCAACTGCTTTTGGAAAAAAAAAGAGGTTTAGGCCTATAATCATTTTGTGAGCAGTCTACATATTTTTGTGGTAATGAGAAGAGTAGGGGATAGTTACTACTTCATGAGGTGGCAGAATCATTCATTATTCATTATGCATTGCTTTATATAAGATCTTTCTATAGATATAAACTTTTTTTTACAATTGAGCCTAATATAGCCAAGACAGGCTGTGCACCACTTTTGTACAATATATTTGTTATCAGTCATGAAACTTATCAAGCTCAAGTGAAAATATATAGAATTGAGGCAGAAAACAGCAATGGTGTGAGACCTGGGCTACTTAACTAATCTTTGTGTGAATCATTGCAGGTGATTGTGAATTCGGTACAGCCTGGCTGTATTTCTTAGGTTCCATGATGGCGACATCTCTGGCACAGCAGCTGAAGCGCTTGGCTGTGCCACAGACATCTTTATTGAGTCAGGATTTAAGGAAGGCTTCCTTCCTGTTTGATCCCAATGAAGCAGCAGCACTTGACCGGGATGTCATATTCGCAATTGGTAAGCTGATGATATAAGGTCTTAATTGTTGGAAGTTGGCATCAGTTTGTGATTGTTTAGACATGCTGAAAGCTATTATGTACCTATGCTTTATTCAAAAAGAAGTCAATGTACAAAATTTAATGAACTCATTTGGAAATTGACAGTCATATTGTTTGATGACATATATCTTGATGTTCTGTCAGTCCTGTCATGGTTATCATCCAAATTCAATTGTTCCTGTGGTGGAATAGCTTATCTACACATATCCTTGCATCCTGATGGAAATGCTGATTTATGTCAAATGTTTAAATTAAGACAATTAGTTTTTATGTAATTACCTTCGTACGTGGTTCATTCCATGAATTAGACCTGCCACTGGGAGTAAATTCCAATGTTTATTACTGTGACAGTCAGGTTTTTTTGTGTCAAGTATTCATTGATGATTAGCTTCCATTACTCTTTCCATAGGTGTCAGTGGGTTTGAGGAGCTCATTGGTTTGAACCCAGCTTTTCGAGGCTTTGAAGCGACTTTGTTTAGTGAAGCCTCTAAGACATTCCAGCGAGCTGTGCAGACATCAGAGGACAATAAGAAGCTGGATAAGATCATTAATGACTTCCTACTCCTCCTCTCTCCATACTTCCTCCTCAAGCCAGCTCACAAGGCTCTGGAATGGCTTGTCCACAGGTGAGATTTTAACTGGCTTTACCTCTTTAAATCTCTTGTTTCAGTGATTTAGTGACAAAAGCAGTAATACAAAAATGTAGTCAAATGCTGCACATGCTTGCTCATAGTTCTTGGGCTAGAAATTTTATCTGGGGCAGCATTCTAGAGCCAGGTTGCCATGTGGAGTGACATGCTTGCATGGTGGAGTGACTTGTTTTGCATCCACAGTCAAGCTTGAAGTTAAATGGGTGTTTGCATTGTATTGTTGAAACTTAGGTTCTTCTATATATTTTCTCATTGTAAATAAGTTTCAAATCATGTTTGTACTTTGAATTGCTCCTCTTCCTGACATGCAGATAGGGAATGAGAAAAAGTAGTCAGCTGATAAATGCTTAGTCAGATCTATCAGATAGAAAATACCTGCCAAATCTATGCATCTGAGGGTTCACAATACTCATGGTTTTGCTGTTCAAGAATATATTATGGAGTGACTTGATACTTATGTGGATTTGCAAATTAATGCTTCTGAAATTGAATTGATCAATATTGTAGTCCAATGAATTTTTTCCATTGCTTTCAGATGCTATTTTCTGTAGCATTTATTACCTTGTTGAAATCTGCACAAAATTACCCCAGTGCTTGTAACTCTACATTGAGTTTTTGCCAGCTTTGTCTTAGATTGGCAATGGTAATGTAAGTGTTACTGTTCAATTCCATAGTTGGTATACAATTGCTTCTTGACTAGTTGAGAAACAGAATGCTTGGACCAATTACTTCCACTATATAGCTATGTGCTGCAATATTTTAATGTTACTTTAATCAGTGGGTCTTCTCTTTCTGAGATTTTCCACCCTGCAGACTTTTACTTATGGGTTTCACAGAAAAAAATGTAATTGGCATCAAATGTTGATGTCACTGGGAATGTTTTAAGATGAATGTTTTTTGCTGGACAGGTTTTACATCCATGAGTTCAACAAGGATGGCTTGTTGGCCTGCATCCTCCCTTACCATGACACACGACTGTTCGTAAGAGCTGTGCAGATGATCCACCTGGAGGGCCAGTGGGCATGGCTGAGTCCTCTTGGACGGGAGGGGATCCCTCTCTCCAAGCAGGTACTCTTTAACCGCTGTGCTGCTGACCTTGACTTCCTCCAGCTGGTGTGCAACTCCATGCGCAGGCTTGTCAAGGTATGACTGCTGTGAACCTTCAGTGAAATATGAAAATTTATTTTTTCTTCCCAAGATTTCACAGAGAGTGTGAGCTGCTTTAAGAGTATTTATAGCTGCTGCAGTAAAATCTGTTGGTGATATCTGTTTTAATTCTTACCTATTTCCCCCAAATAAAAGAATGAATACAAATGCAAATGGAGATTCTGACATGCAGGGGTTTTAGTTACATTGAAATGTTTACAGCCTCGAGAAAAGTAATCGAAGGCTAATATATTTTTTTGAGTATTACTTTTTGGGTAGGCCTGCTGGCATGCTTGGGGAATATTCCCTGACAGAAAAGAATCTTAATATTCCCAATAATATGATTTTGATTCAGTACAAAAAAGCAACTCCTCCTGTGGGAGTATTGTTAGACAATGGTAACAAAGTGTGTGGGCTGTCTGCTCCTTCAGAGTAGCTTATTTCTCTTCTCCAAAAATGTATTTGGAGAACATGAGGTACAATAGCAGCAAACTGCAATATTTACAGTTTCCTAGGGCCAGCTTTATTCATGTGGGATTTGCTAAATAGGCTCTGGCCTGCAAACTTCTTGAGTAAGAACTCTTTAGAAATTTTGTTTTTGGGAAAATTGCAGAAACACAAGAAAATCAATCCAGGGGTCCTTCAGACAGCAATCGGTTTCTACACGACTACTCTCATTGGTACAATCCGTGAATGCAAGAAGGTCAAGGACACAATTGTGAGTCACTTTAAGTCTACATCACATGCTCTGCATGGATTGCATTTTTTGTTCCTTGGATGCCATTTATTAAGTTCCTGCAATGCACAAATTGAAAGTATGTTACAGTCACTCTCTTTTTTGATCAGGTTGCATTGCTGCTGCCTTCAGTGATCCAAGGTTTGCGGTCTGGATTGGAGGATTATGTGGCAGGTGTCTACATGGTCCTGGCCCAACTCTGTCGGCAGACAAGGCTCAAAACAACCTTCATTGATCAACTCATCCAGAGAATTGTTATGGTGAGAGTTTGGTTTTGGTTCATTTGCTGATTCAGGCTATTATAAATTTTCATGGCAGCAGCTGAAAAGCTCCAGATAAATGGAACTTCTTATAGGTGTTATGGTGTTTTTCATCCCATTGGTACTATGTAATTTGATTATGTTTTGTGTGAATCTTCCTGTTCATCAAGTTCTACCTATTTTTAATTTTTGTGCTCTGCTTGGAGGAATGTTCCACTTGCATTGTGGTTAAGCCCTGGTTTCTCCAGAAGCACATATTGTAAGTCTAAATCCTGGATGGTTACTCCTGTGTTGTGCTATCAAATTGCTAACCCCCAAGGAGTGCTTACCACACTCTTGCACTGATTATGCAATTAAACAGTCTTGATGGTAATATGAAATCAAAATATACATGAAGTTATCATAGTTACAAGTGAAAATGTCATCATGTAGGTTTCCCCAAAGATGAGAGGGTGTTGTCCTTGTGCTATTTGCCTCTGTCCCATTGTGAAAAGTCATGTAGGAGAAAATATGTATTGCTGACTGCTGACAGCTGTTTTATAATGATACTATGCTTAAGTCTAATGTTTTCAGTCAGAGTTATTAAGCAGTTTTTTCTGTCCGCTGTCTGAAGGTTTACAAGGATCCTCTGGGCTTTATATAACATTCTTCTGGATGTGATTTTTTTTCAGAATCTGCATCCTTCACTGATGGAAGAGGCTGTTGCCCTCTTGTGTCTCCTATGTCAGTCACAGGACTTCTCTGTCTTCCCCCCTGACATGCTTCCTGTGCTGCTTGAGACTGAGGGGATCCCTAAGGCCCTTGAGGCAATCTCTGCTGACTTTTCTGTTGGTCCTCTGTTGGTTTCTCTTCTGATCTCGATCGATCTAGCAGCAGATGATGGAACACACGTCCAGGCACTGGCCAGACTGGTCCAGAGTTCCAGACTTCCACAGCACAATGCCCAGACCTTCATAGAGTAAGTACATTGGTTGAAATTACTTATGTGAATGGGTGAAGTTACTAGTGGTCATCCGTTCCTGTGTCCCTTGTTTGCCCTCATTAAATTTTACATGATTAACTTCATATTATCATTAGTGTAATAAGGTGACATTTGAAGAAAGTGGCATTGATGTCTTTCTTCTTCACTCCTTGGCTGTCATCTTTAAGCCACATCCCTGGCCACTTGATTGAAAGCCTTTTAAAGTTGTAGCTATGTGACATTTCTCCTTTGAATATTTATATTTGTTATCAAATTTAGTTAAGGAATGAGGGAAGTTGTAATGAATTTAGTAGTTTGCCCTCCTTGACTTGAGTGTAAGAAATACTTTTTAATGCAATAACACCTTTCTTTGAGCTGGAAAATGTATTTGGCTGAGGATGGGAGAAGTTTTATTATTCTGTTACGGCCCGTTAAGACGTGAGCATCCAAAATGATTTGCTGATGTTGTTAAAAGGTTTTCCTTGCATTAAGAAATGCTTGTTAATCAGTTAGTAGACAGTCATGCTAAGCAGAAGTCCATGGGACTTAGTGAGCCATAACGGGTATCATGTCATTTTCAGTGCCAAATCATACAATCAGAGGGGAATTTCTGAATCTGTAATTCAAGTAGTGAGAGAGATTCAAAACAAAAATTGGAGTTATGGGTATAAATTTAGATGGGGTTTTTTAGTGCTTACATCTTGCATTCAGCAAGATTATGAGCCAACAAAAGCAGGATTTTAACATTCTGCAATTTGAGATTGGCCAAGACATTGTGTTGGACTTGATTATGGTTCACTTCTATTAAATGCATCTGAATGAAGGTCATTAGATTAGAAAGGAATAGGACAGAGAAATCAATCTTGGAGATGAGGAATATGTCTGCAAACGCAAGTGGTACTTAGTCCTAATCAGGTTTGCATGCAGGGATCCAACCTCATTGATGTCTGGGTTCTATAACCCTGGGTCATGTGCACTGCTTGTTCATACTGATCCTCTGCATTATCCATCACTATTGAACAAAATACAATTTTGTTCATTCTTCAATATTGCTGAATTAATGGGTGCCAAAAGAAAAGATTCAAGTAATGGCAATGAATATTCATGAATGTCAGGAACATTTAGAAACACTAATTTAATGTTTTTTCAAAGCTCATTTGAAATTGGGGAATTGCTGATTGCTTTCTTTGTCATGACATTGATCAGGAGAAGAAATGGGGAAAGGCAAATGCAAAAAGAGGGAATGAGAGGGAAGGCAGATAATTGGAGCCCCCCCCAAAAAAGAGGGTTCAAATGGAATATATCTGAAGTCCTTGGGGCTTTGGGAGGATTTAGCTTTCAAAAGTATCTTTTCTAAAAAAAATTGTTTACAAAATCCTGGACATCACATCTCAGAATCACCATTGAATGCTTCCTAGAATTCTTTGAATTGGTCTGTTTTAATAATGGCTTATGAGTTTGACATGCTGCTCTTTTCAGGAAAGTTCTGCATTGCTCGGGCTTGGCCGTAAAATCCATGAGCGATTCCACCATCACTGCAGTTAAGGAACTCCTTGTATCGTGTGAGAAACGACATCCGGAGGCCTTTGATGCAGCTGTGACCCACTGTGCCACCCCAGCTCACAATGTGGTTCTGGGACGTGAGACTGTGGTGCGGGGTGACCCAAATGCCCAAACAGACTGGTTTCTCAGACTTCATCACCCTGAGGCAGCTTTACGGGGGGAGGCTGTGAACAGGCTTATACGTGCCATCCGTCAGGGAAAGGTCAGCATGGACCATCCAAGGAAGAATTATTGCTGCATCAGGAATTGCTTCCTCTGCTATATTTGTTCCTGTTGTGAACATTTTTTGCCTTTCTTAGTCTTTTGCAATTCAGTTATTTGGATCCAGTTAACTTGGACCTTTAATTTTTATTGCTTCAGAAATTTGATTCTCACATTTTGATAGCAGATGAATTTTCATGAGCCTGAGAGGTTCAAAGCAACTCAAAAATCTTGTGCTGGATACACTGGATTCAAAATTCACCTTACAGATGGAACATGATTGCTGAATTTCATAAAACCAATTTTTTAACTGGTAGCCCTGCATTTTGTTTTACTGTGAACTGTGGTGTCATTGAAGTAAATTAATTGCCATTAAATGGACCCAAGTCTCTATTTGCCCCATAGGTGGAAGAGGAAGGCTTTGTATCTCGGTCCCTGCTGTCCTGCCTTCGGGATGAAGAACCACTCATTGTGGAGAAGGTCCTTGCAATGGGGGAGCTCCTCCTGAAATTTTTGGAGGCTGCAACCCTCCTCAACGAGATGAAGCGGCTCTCATGCCTGCATCTGAGGGACCGCACTTGGCGGGTTGTGTCTCTGAAGGCCGTTGTCCTAGCCATGGAACACCTGAGCTTGGATAGCCTTGTCTTTGTCCTCCCATTCCTGCTCCCTGCCAAGGAGAAACACCTGTCCTTCATCCGACCAATCCTTGATACTCCATTTGCTCAGAAGCATCCTCTGCTCCGGGGCCTTTCTGAGTGTATGTCTTCCTCCATGCCTGCACTTATCAAATCTTGAGTAGTGGTCAAAATTGTGACAGGAAGGAGTAGTGGTACATGCCTTGTCAGATCTAGGTATTGATGATATTGGTAAGTTAATGTTTAATATAACCTGAGTCTCACTTGAAATGCTGAAGGGATATTTATCTGAGTTTTAGGAATAACTGGTATAATCGAATTTGGCTCTCTGGAATGACACAGGAAAAAAAAATAACCTAAGGCATTGGAAAGTAGAGTATTTTCTTGGGGTGACTGAACTATCTGCTTCCCATTTTGTGTTTTGCATTCAGGAATCAATCCTACTTCTTGGCTAAATAAAAATATTAGGCTCTGTCTCTTGCAATGCGCAAATTAGCTCATCAAATTCTTACAATTCCTCCAATATACAGTATATATTCTTATGCTCCAAATGTCTTAGGGTTAAAGATGTCTGTTTGCAAGTATTAGTTACAGCAATCGTTGCATTAACTGCAGTCACTTTCCTAGTTCATGGTTGATTAGGGGGGAGGATCTATCCTCAACAGAAACCTTCATGCTCTTAACAGTGTTGTCTTGTGCTAAGTGCTTCACCTGCAAAGAATTTGCTAAACCTCAGGAGAATTCCTTCCTAATTTTCAAAATAAAAATTTCTCTAGCAATTTCTTGCTTTTTTGTCATTCATGTCATTGCTTCTAATTTTTGATGCCACTGTATATTTTTTAGGTATTTCAGGTGTGACAGAGCTAGAGAAAGCTTTGTGGAAGATCTTAGGCCAGCTGGCCATGAATCTGTCAGAGATGATGTCCTCCTCTGTAGATGCATTTGGGAAAGATGTCAGTGAAACTCCAGAGATGCATCTGCAGCACCTTGGAATCCTGGTCCTCTCTCGCACTGTCACTGCCCTCCAGGTGGACCAAGATGACCTCCTCACTCTCATGCAGGTCATTAGAAGTGTTGCTGGACAGAAAACAGTCCTCTAAAAATAAGATCACTAAAATATTTTAAGGTGGGTCATGTTCCCCATATCCCTGACATGATGTTCAAGCAAAAGGGTAAAGGGAAAGAAACAGATTTTAATCCTTGTAAGGAGAATGAGGCCTGGGGGTGCTTATCAGAATGTATCAGTCAATAAGAAATGTCAATTGGTCATGAGGCCACATGGGAGACATAGTGAATTCCCCTTTGTGCAACTTGTTTAAATGAGAAGACTGTGTTTAAACAAGACATATTGTGTTCTTTTTCATGATGTTTAAATCAGGAATGTTACTGATGAGGAATTTGTATTGATTTCCAATAACCCAGTATTCAAAATGGGTATAGTATACAACAATCATCAGTATATGAGTAACGGCAATAATTGTATGAGAGAGTTCAGTGTCTTCATAGCTTCAGGTAACTTGACCATGATCTTTTACACATTTTAATACAAGTGCAATACATGCACATGATGAACTTAAAAATATCCTGAGAGAATCACACACACCCAAATAAGGTACTAAAGTAGGAAGAATGAAGTGGAAGCATTTTGAGTAGTAGTGCCTCAGAAGTCTTCAGAAAGTTACTTGCTAAAATTGAATCTTTCCTCTCATTTTATGGAAATAAATTGTATTTTCAGGCCTAATTGATATTTTAAAACTATTGGAATGGGTTAACAAGCACCACTGGTGAGTATGGCTCTTCAGGTATCATAATTTTCCTATTAATATACTGAAGTGTTTAATACAAGAATTACATTGTAGTATATTGGAAGCATTGTACTTTCCTATTATTAAGTCAATTGTCTGTTGGTGTACGTCTAACTTCACCCACTTGAGTGATAATGTTGTTGAACCTAGAGTTTCTGTGATAGCCTTGTGCTTGTCCTTCAACATCAGCTACATTAGAAATAGGATGCAATCATAGTGGGATTCTGGCTTCCTCTTGGTTCTTCTCAAGTGGCAAGATTTCATCATTTGCTTACCTGTACAGATTTGGACGATTTGGTTGGTGGTGGACGAGAGTCATTGGGGTCTATTCCTTTCATGCTCTTTTTCTTCCCTTTGACACAGCCACACTGCAATTCTTGCATATAAAGCTTCAGGTTTGCCAACTGTTGAGAATGTGAAATATTTCCAAGATGGCAACTTGGTAGACTTACTGATCTGACATACTGCAGGCTTAACTTGCTGGCTATGAGGTTTGTAAAAGGGAGGGTTATGGAATAAGGTGAACCCTAATATTTTTGTCTTTGAAATTGAAATTCAGGTCAGCCATAAAGAAGTAGGAGCATACTGTATATATGAAAGAATTAATCTGGAATGATCAAAGACATTGCCATCATAACCATTATTGCTCAAATTTAAACCAGCATAACAGTTTTGATAAATCTAACCAGGTTTTGCCCCATCAGTAACAAGATTCCCTTGCAGTCTGTTGTTTTCTTAGAAGTCAAGTGGATGGTACCAGCTGTTTTTGAATAGACAGCTGCACTTGCAGCAGCAGTGATGTTGTATCTTATTACTGTTCTCAAATTCAAATTACCAAAGCCACAAAATAAGCTGCTCCAAAACCTCTGTGCCCCAGCTCCACATGAGGAGTTTTCATTCAAACTGCTTTTTATATTTTTGGTTGATTCATTTCACTTAACATATGCTGTATTTCACATTTGTGCTACATGTGCTTAGTGTCTCACTAATGTCTTTCATAATTCATGGAACAATTTGAAAATAGAAATTGAGATGTGAAATTGTGTCACATTGGAGAAATTTAAATACTGCTTATATGAAAGTGATAGCATTTAGCTAGAGGACCATTTAATGGTTATCCTCTATTCTTGTATGTCAAAATATGCAGATAAGATACTTATTGGAAAAAATGGCAGACAGTATATACTACTGTCATTTCATCATTTGTCACCTGGAAATTGATACTTTATATTGATAGTTGAGACAGCACCTCTTAATTCATCTACTTTGCCCAAATCAGGGTTATCAGTGACCTTGAAAAAGAGAAACAGAGGACAAGAAGGAGGAATAAATTAAAAAGTGACAGGTACCAAGCTCTCCTGCTGCCCTCAGCACAGCAATCCCTCATTCCTTCCATTCTGCAGGTAATCCCCTCTCAAGGAAATGAAATGAGTGCATGGAGCAAAGCCTGGGAAGTGTCAGGAAGAACCCTTCTATGGACGATCAAGCACTCCCAGCGTGGCTCCATCTCTGAGATGCTGCTCCACATCGCATTATCCTCCGTTGCTCACGCATTGGATGCACGGAGACCCGAGCAGCCCGACCTGGAAGGTGTGGTCACCGAATCGTGCACACCCGAGACAAAATGGTTGTCGATCTACCTCCAGCTCCTGCACCGAGTGGTGGCACTTCAGGCAGCCAAACCTGAGTCCCAGCTGTGGAGGGATGCAGTCTCCACTGTCCTGAAGGTGAGATCAGTTGTCCAACTTACATATTTTTTGTGACTGTCTGACTTACTGGCAAAGCCATGTCTGTCATACCTCAATTACATTTGGAACACAGCTGAAGATGGCATTTGGCATTACCTTCCATCATCCCCACAGGTTTTGTACAACAGTCCTATCAAAACTGATAACCTTTAAGTCAAAAAAGTGCCTCAGAAAGAAAAGTCTAGGTACTACAGAGGAAAAGTGTAGGGATTGAATGGACCTAGATGGGCAGGAGGTCATGTTAAAAGTGAATGGCAATGCTGGGAAGGTGGAAGCATGATAATGCAAGTTTTGATCAAGGGACTCCTTGCCCAAAAGAACCTGCAAAAGTGAGGAATGTAGTTTTATCCTCAAATTTTTCCTGGAACCTTTTGCCCCCAGGTTGGAGGTGGAGGTCCCCAGCAGCTGCAGGTATTGAGTCTATGTTGGGCAGCAGATGAATTGTGCCCCAACTCGGGATTCCGTTTTCATATCCCCAAGTCCCTCAAGGTGATGGCCCTGCGCATCTTATCCCAGCTGGATGCCGGGGTGTCCTCGTCTGCGCTCCTGGCTTCCCTCCTCGCTTCCCTCACGTCTCAGGCTGCCATCCGAGAAGCGGCATTGGCGTGTCTTCAATTGTTGAGTAAACGCCTTAGTGAAAATGATCCACTCAAATCTCTTATAGGAGCACTGCTTTCCAAAGGATCTGAGATTGAGGGGGACCCCAGGTGAGTTTAATTCTAGGCCCCTCACTCCACAGATTTCCAGATGCGCTTGTGTCACCTGTAAAACATGCATTCATACATTGCCTATCACTTCTTACATAGTTCATCCACGCCCAGGAAGGACCAAGCAGTATGAGCCCCTAATGGAGAGCCATTTTTTATGATCTGTTAAAAGCTGTCAAACCCCTTCCTTCTTGTCTCAAACTGCTTTTTTGGGAAGCGGATGGGAGAGGAAAATGTCCCCAGTGTGACAAATGATACTTTTTCTGGTCTTTGTGAATTAGAAGCGGTCATTTCTGGGACTGGATGGGCTATATATTACCCTTCATTTTGAATCAAATAATTCCTGATTCACGCTTATATTATTCCTCATGTTTGAGCATATTATTCCTATACTAGCCGACCCGTGGAAAACTTCCACGAACTCTTAGGCAAAAGCTCCCGGGTTCATTCACGGCCCTAAAATTCAGTGGCCCTCTCATCGCTACAGGCAGCAGATCCTCTTTCCCAATCTTTACACGTCCCCACGTATAACTTTTCGAGTCCCCTTTCATCCCACAGAAGGAAGGATGATTTCCTCGCCGGTGTGAGATCTTCGCTCAGACAATAATCGGAATTGCAACCCCTTTAATGATCGGCACTTTTTCCTATCGATCACAACCCTTTCCACTCAGTCCGTAAAGTCCATCTCCATCGCTTTTCATGCAAGCCTATGAATGAAATATACGGGAAACGGGAAGGTTACGACACGACCGGCGGCATCTTTGCAATCCGAGGATAAACCTTTTTGTCCTATCCCACCGATTTCACACTCGAGAGTTACTCTCCTTCGCGCAGAGGAACACGGGACTCCAAGTGTTATACGTGGGTTTTCCCGGGTGAAAGTTTGTATCGAGGCGTGAACATCCCTTATTGGCGGGGGGGGAGGTTTGCGCAAGGCGTACAATGACTCTCTCTCCCATTCTCAAGAATGGATCCGACAGTTGCAAAGGCCAGAGAGAACATGAGCACGAGAGCGTGAGCTGGACTCTCCAACCGGCGGGGAGTCTTCCATAAACTGTTTCTCGGTAATTCCCGAGCTCAGTCAGCAGCCCTAAAACTCAGCGGCACTCTCAACAATATAATCAGCAGCCCCTCTCTCCCATTCTCGAGAATGACCTCTGGAAGACTTCCACGAACTTCGGGTCGGTATAGGCCAGAGGTGTCGAACTGCCGGCCAGCTAATTGATCTCGTCCGCACCGCAAAGTTCTCTTCTTCAGCAGTTGGCTTTGCAGAAGCGTAGACTTTTTCAACCTTTTAACCATTGAAACTTTAGTATAAGATGTGCTAATGTGAACCTAACCATTCTTGAAGGGTTCTATCCGTCCCCCAGCTTAATCAAGTTTGACATCTCTGGCCTTGGCCAAGCGTATAACATTGTCGGGAATCTTCGAGGTCGACTAGCGGCTCTTTGAACAATACGCGGCAGCCACTCTCTCTCTCTCGTTCTCACGGATCCGACAGTCGCGAAGGCTCGAAATAAACTGCTCGTTCGAGAGCGAGACAGAGACCCCATCCCGTGGAAGACATCCACGAAATGCGGTTCAGCCGAGTCTAAGCGTGTTGCATTTTCGGGTTTTCACGAGTCTAGTCAGCCGCCCTATTAACGCTCTACGTAGCAGCCGCTCAGACATTGTACGTCTCGTGCATCTCCACCCCTTCCCCCCCTTACCCACGGGGGTGCTCATGCCTACGATAAGGACCTTTATCGAGCAGCAGTCTTATCCCGTATCGATCGCCACCCTGTGGGTATCGTCCGTAAAGTTCCTCTTCACCACTCCACCAAGGCGGCGTCTTTCCGATGAAAGAGTTAGCGCTCGTGTTCTATCCCATCCAGATGGAATCCCGCCGCTTTCATCCTCGGTTGTCACTCTCCTTGTGAGAGTGCCGATGAATACGAAGACGGGGTTTCGATCGGTAAAGGGACCGAGATCTTATCCCGGCAAGCAAGTCATCCTTACCCCAGCGGGATGAAAGGGGACTCCCAAGTGTCATAAGCGGGACGTTTTACACGTCCCTGCGGGAAAGTCCGCATCGAAGTGCGAACACCCCCTAAGCAGTGGATGGGGGGGGGGGGGGGGGATACAAGAGACGTACAATTCCTCTCTCTCCCTTTCTCGAGAACGGATCCGACAGCCGCAATGGCCGGAGGGAAAGTGCGAGCTCGAAAGAGCGAGACAGACACCCAGAGCCAAGCAGTAGTCGCCGCGCATGCGCATATGGCAATGCAGACTTACGGAGCCCAAGCATCTAATACCTGTATACGAGGGATTTCTCAAAAGTTCTGCCAGTAACCCCAAAGTAGCACTTTGCAGCCGCCTCCGATGACGACTTGTGGGCTACTGGCAGAACTTTTGAGAAATCCCTCGTACAGGGTGTCCCATAAGTCAAGCATGGGAAAATTCAAGTTTTGATTTCTGTTTTTTTTTTCTGACGCTAATTCTAACCATGTTCTAGAGAAGTTAGAAATCTGAAGCTTGGTGCTCATGTACCTTTTGGGATGCAGAATTCAGAAGAAATCCGACTTTGAAGGTACATGCCTTGGAGGCACCCATTTTGGGGTGAGATGTTTCCAATGATATATATTTGCTTCAGTCAAACGGAGAGACATGGAAGGCAGAAACTCGCCATGGACGTGCCTGCTGAGACACAAATTTCAGGGAAAATGTCAAGTTTTGGATACATGCCCTGGGGGCATGTTTTTTTTAAAAGGGGCTTTTTCCGGAAACTTTTCTGATTCGATGAAGGAGAGAATTAAAGAAAGTTGAAACTTGGAGCAGAAGTACCTGTTCGATTGCTGAGTAGATGTCCTACTTTTCAAATATGACCCATCAGGCCAGATTATGAATTGATTTGAAGTTAGGCACACTAGAAACAATGTGAATAATTATTCCAATGAAAATATAGGTTTGTTCTCTCTCCATACACATTCCAATGGGTACATACTTTTGATAGGTTTTTGCCACTTTGAAAATAAATTATAAAATGAAACACATTCTGGTAATGGAGCGCAGAAGGCCCGACAATAGCTAGTAATATATATTGTAATATATATAGACCTATATATATAGTAATATATATAGACTATTCCTCATTTCCTTCATTCACTATATACTGTGGATATATTTTATAGGGCTTTTACCTAGTACCCCATCATATCAATAGAAGAGAGTCTGGAGACTCATGAGTGTGCCCTATCTTCCCCACCCGATAACCACATCTAATGCAAGTAACCTATAACCTTGGTTGACTTGGAGAGGTTAATTAGAAATAGTTGCTAACAAATTCAAAGCCAAATTGGAATTATCTAGACTCATAGAAGTGGATAAAATGAAGTCAATATCAGCTCCATTGTTGAATTTCAACACTGGCTTTGTTGGCATGTGACAGAGGACATGGGTCTCTATGGCTACAGTCAGAGATTCTCCTGCACTTGCTTTTTTTTTATTTTCTGCCTCACCTAGTCATGCAGCAGAGGTGGTGGCATTCCAGGCATCCTTTGCCAATGTGGAGGGGTCTCCATCCAAGAGGACCAGGAAGAAGGATCCTAAAGAGGCACTGGATGCCCTCCTCAGCATAGTCACTGACGAAAGGGCTCCACTCCTCATACAGATCCGGATCGGGCTTCTCCATCTCCTTTCTTCTGTTCATTCCAAGGTATATTGTGCAGAGTGCAAGCAGAGAGGCTAACTATCATAGGACATTTGATCAATGATGGGGTTGGATTCAAATTTCTAAGGAGAAATAAAACATCCTCTTTGACTATGAATAATTTATAGGCCAAAATGTTAATGTCAGTTGAAGAACAAAAAGAAGAATTGGTCTAAGGAAAATGGATGGCTTGCTTATTCTTTCTGAAGCTGTGATCCTTTGTTACTTGGAAAAAATTGCAATAAGCTGCTGTATCATAAAATACACTTTTCTAGTTTGTAGGCCCCCTGCTGTAGCAGGGTATATTTAGCAGATGTTTATTTGCTGCAGGTAGTATCCAGGGTGAAATGTCCATATAGAATGTTTTCAAGGAGAAACTTAATATATAAATATATATATTTAATATTTTTGAATTCAATTTATTGATGGAAATAATTTCACTGCAAGTTTTCACAATTTCCACCAGCCAATACTGGAGAGACTCCTCCCCCTGCTGAGGCAGGTCCTGTCAAAGAGACTCAGTCCAGAAGAGCCAGAGAAATGGGTCCTGGGGGTGCAGGAGTCCCAGCTGGTGAAGCTGATCGCCTCCCGGTTCTGTGCCCCACCTGTTGCCTCTGTCCTGGATGGCGATTTACTTGAGGAATTTCACTGCTTGCTCAGAGATTCTGTTACTTACTTGACTGGAACCCAAGCTGGAACCGAGTCACTTGCTCGCTACCTTGTCTCTCAGGTGAGTGTGGTGGGTTTTAATCAATATGCACCCCCACTTTATTTTAAGCCTTGCAATGTTCTCATGAGTTGATGAGCTCAGTGAAACTATATTTGAACCTTACAGTTTCTTGAGATATTCTATGAATGAGATGGCTTTTCCATCAAATGCTGTAGTGAACATAATTTATTTCTGGCTGCAGAAACAAGTCAGCCAGGATAGAAAATTGAAATCTTGCTGTTTTCATGACTTATGAACTAGATTAGATGTATGAGAAAGCTGATGAATTGCACTGGGATGGCTAGTTGCTAGTTGTCTAAGTTTGGAATTTTGCTTTAGATTGGATTTATTCAAAGTAGATACTTTCTCACGAACTAATCGTATTTGGTTTTTCCATCCTGAACAGTGTCCTTTGACTCATGAAGAGCAAAGCCTGTGTGTACCAAGTTATTTGATGGAGATAACACTATATGAATCAGTCTCTCAGAAAGCTATAGGGTAAAACATGCTATTCATGCTATTGGGTTTGTGGGAAAGTTCTGTTGTTTTTGTTTATGTACATTTAGACTCATCTCCCAAACACAAATACGGCTAGTGATGACATCCTTTTATACTCTAATCCACAAAGATAAAAACAAAAACAATCGATGATTCATCACTAGCTGTATTCTTATTTGGGAGATAAGTACAATTGTACATAAGCAAAAATGGCAGAGCTTTCCCACAAACCCAATATGTCACTAAGCTCAATGGCATAACAGCATGGAACAGCTCAACAGATATTGCATGACTTATATATTTATCTAAATGTCCTGTGATTGAGATAGCAGTTATTGTGATGCCTGGAGAAAGATCTCTGTGATGTTGCCATGAAGTCATCTTAACTCAACAGGGATTCAGTGATGTATTGTCAGTATAAGTGACATACAGGATCTATCCTTGTGCATATTTTGGTGCAATACTTAAGTTGAATTGCCTCCTTCCAAAAAAAAAGATTATTGCATTAGTTTTCTGGTATTTATTGGAACAGTGGCATCTTGGACATCATGAATTTGGACAATATTCATTCTGTATTTGAAATTGATTTGTTCAAAGCTGGATGATGAATTTTTTGGAGCTCTAAGCGGGGAAGAGATTCAGCTCAGGGTGGTGTCCACTCTGATCGATGTGACCGTCCAGCCCGGATTGCCTGAAGTGGTCCTGGAGGTGAAGAAGGTCCTCAACAAGCTCCCCCTCTGTGCATCCTTGGTGACGCAAGAACTGAGGCGGTTGTCACAGCTGGATCTCCTTGTGGATGCACCCCAGAAACGGGCCCGGAGGATCCAGTCCCGACTCAGCCGGTCTGTGACCCTCTGCCCCACCACTGATATTTCAGACTCTAATGCAGTGGTTCTCAACCTGGGAGGTGTCACCCCCCTGAATCCATGAAGGTTCAACGGGAGTAAAAGGAAGGTTGAGAACCACTGCTCTAATGGATATTGATTATTGTGGCATCAACATTTTGCTCATTTCTGTATGTCATGAAAAATAAATCACTGATTTGCAGTGGTACATGTAAAAAAATGAAGATGTGACAGAAATTCATACTCATATGTAGTCCAGTGTGCAAGCTGTTGTTCTTGTCATATTAAAGCATGACAGCAAATGTCAGAATGCTTTTTGCATTGAAACATGATTAACATATTCGAGTCACGTGCCCAAAGGGTTATTTCATGTTATTCATGGCTGTGGCTTTTTTTTAAATTATTAAATAGGACCATGGAATTAAAGGCAATACCAGAGACAGAAGCATCACCATCAACCAATCTGAATTGGAGACAGAAACTGACTCTCTTCCTCGAGGTCCTCCGATCAAATAGGAAGATCCAGGACTTCCACAAACTCCTCTCTCCACTTTTTGGTGTCCTCCAAAAGTAAGCATACCTCATCAGCTGGCTGAAAAGATGCCAAATATACCTCTATTTCTTAGCAGAACATGGTAAATCCAATAATTTTGATTTTCAAAGGAATAATTCTACTTTATTTTTACATTCAGGATTGAGGTAATGATTATGATTTGATGTTGGATTCTCTATTTTAGTTTACATTTTATTCCGTACCCTTTGTTGGATTTATTTGTGTACCTGTCAGGATGATTCCCTTGAGTTGTATGGGCTGTCCTCTTCCCAGGTCCCTGGAATGGCTGCACCCAGGAGACCAGGATGAGGAGGTGAACAGTGTGGAGTACATCCAGGATCTGCTCCTTTCCTGCATCCATGCTGCTGTGAATGCCTTGATGGGTAACAAGGACAAGACGGATCTCAGTCTGGAATCCTTCCACGTGGAGCTCGTCGTGCAGGTGGTCCGTAATGCGCACAATCCACAGGTTTTTCATCAGGCCTTCCTGCTCCTCTCCACTGCTGCAGAGCTCTTCCCGGTATGCACTGTGACCTGTGCCTATGTGACTTCAAGTTAAATTTATGTTCAGTCTTTCACAAGTTAATCAGCTGAGGTTGGCCAGTTCTCATGAGGCCAGAATAAGCTAACCTTGTCAAAATGAAATGGAAGAACAACCTTGAGATGTACAGAATTCTATTACCTGAAAATATGACATCTTTCTGGCCTCTGTGAAAGACCTCTATCTCCATGTATGAAAAATGGAACTGGGAACCCTTTTTGTGGCCAAGAGCTGGGGGTTGGGGTAGGAGGGGAAAAAAGAGGGTTTTTCGTAACCAAGACAGGGATAAATGATGAGCTACATGCACCAAATAGATATAAATAGAACGCATTCGTTCTAACAGTAAGCTTTTATGAGAGTAACATGAGTTTAGTTAAATTAATTCTCTTTGGGGGGGCAATGATGAAGATGGATATATTCAGTTTGCTGCACATCAGCCAGAAATCTTTCCCCACTCAGGTGTTTAGATCCCACTGAATCTATGAGGCTGTCTGCTTGGTGCTCTGTATTGAATCAAAAGTAATTGGAGCATGTGTTGGATTGAAATGGTTGATGTGAAATGTGCTGTTTTTGGGGAGCAGAAGAAAGTGCTGGAGAACATGATGGGGATCTTCACATTCATGGGGAGCACAGTGCTTCACTTTGACGACGCCTACTCCTTCCAGGTCATAAACAGGGCCATCGAGAGCATCATCCCGGCTGCCCTCCAGGTAAATTTACCAATGGACTGTTTTTTGGTATTATTGATTGTCATCTTGCTGGAGTTGACAATTTTAGAGAATTCTGGAGGTGGTCATATGTACATGGGCATGAAAAATGCATTTTTTGAAATTAAAATGCTTGCCATCCTGCTTTATTGCCTTTTTTGATTGCTGGAGACAACTTGGCTTTTAAGGGAGCATGCAGGTGAAAATGTAACTTCAGAGCATTCTTTTTGGGGATTCTTTTTGAGGATTCTTTTTTCACGTCTGGTTACTTGGTCTTGACAAAAGTTAAAATATCATTTCTCCTTTTACTTTTTAAAATTTTTAAATGAACTGAACTGTTCAACTAGGTTTTTTTTATTGTATGCTTAAGCTGAATTGTAAAAATAGTTTTATCCTTCAATGTCATGGCAGCTTTTCTAAGAGGGTGACAGCGACAGGACAATTCTAAATCATTCCCCCTGTCACAATTATGAACTAAGGCAGTGTATGATTAGTAAGGATATCTTCATCCATTTTTTTGGCATCATCTCAACTCAGTCTTCCTTATCACCAATCAACTGATCCATTGATCATTGGACACTTCATAACAGATATTTTCTTGCTGCATGGAAGGTGTCATTTCACATGGATTTGACATTGACCCTGATGATGTTGACAGAACTGATGTGTAGCTAACTATCTCAGGGGATGTAGCAGATTATCCAATGGTGTGGATTATGTAATACATGGATTTTTGCCAAATTTCCTTTCATAATATGTGGGAACAGTCAATTTGAAACTGTGTTTATAGTTGCATTCAGAAAGTTTTTGCAGGTTGCACATACTCAGCCAATACAGCTCAATTTAGACCCTTATGGCATGCCTCTCTCCCCCAGTCAGAGAAAAGCCAAGTGGCTGCAGCCGGCATCCTGCGTGTGTTCGTCGGGGCGGTTGCAGACATTCCCGTCCATCGTCGCATTTCCATCTTCACCAAGCTCATTGAGACTCTGAATCCAGAACACTCTGTGTGGCTGCTTCTACTCATCTTCATCGAGGCTCATGTCCTCAAGGGTGAGTGGGATTCAGCCCTGGTTTGTCCATAACTCTCAGTTGTGCATGATGAATATTATACTGGGTGTTCATGAAGTAACGCAAATAGACATGAGTCCTATATTATAGGCACCTATAGGTATTTCTTTTTTTCTTGGGCTGGAAATTATTTTTTTATTCATGCACAGAATTGATTGAAATTTAATTAGGAATTATGATGGGATAAATAATGCTGTTTTCAGAAGTTTGATGGCTTTATCCTCCCTTGACATATGTTGTCTTTGGGTCTCTCCTAATATTCTTAATTAAATATGTAAAATATCAATAATTAAATTACTAAAATCATGGTTTAGGATGTAGGTGAAAGTTTGTTCAATTCATAAAATTTCAAGAAGTCTGCAAATAAAGAATTGGAGACAAAGAAAAACATTACATTTGAAAAAATGTCATCATGGGTGTGAGGTTATTCCACAAAGCTGCTATGATTGATGTTTAATATGCAGACAATGTAAATTACTTGGTTGGAAGCAATTCATGTGATACATCATCATTATAAATAGTATCATAATCTTGCAGACAAAAATGTTGTTCTAAGGGGAAACTTTTGACCCATTTTGATGCACTTGAACATAAGGAACGATCAAAAGTGGCTATAAGTGAATCTGTTAAAATGTGATCCCACTTGAGAAAGGCTGTTTTTTTCCATTACAGAGTCCTCATCTCTAAGCGAGGTTCGAGTGGTCGAGGGTCCCGATACAGGAAGAAGCGATTCGTCACAGCTCCCCTGGACGTTTGAGTTGGCCCTCAAGGTTGTGACCTCCCAGGCACCACAGTGCCAGCTGGATGCTGTTGCGCAGTGCCTCCATTTCCTCCTGAGTCATCCTGTGGAGCCAGGTGAGTTTCTTCATTTATGAATGTGGGCAAGACTTTGGTGAAATGTTGGTTTTTGCCTGCTGGTAGGGGTTAGATGGGATGGGGGTTCTTTCTTTAAAAGTTCTACAACATCTCACAGAAGAATTTCTTGCTGTTCGTCACCTTTGGTGTGCATTCATTCCTATTATGTGCAAATGGGACTTGAAAAATTATCTCAACTATGATCTCACATTAATAAAAGAGGTTGGAGATTCAACCCGAAAATTTGGAGAAGCTTCTGTAAACTAGATAAATATGCAGTACTTCTGTTTTATTATGCAATTTAATTCATCTCCTTTTCAAAGTTGGACTTCTCATCCATGATGTGTATAACATGTATTAATTCCTTACAGAGAAATCAGCATTATTGCCATCGACCCCAATGAGATCTCCTGCCAGGAAGCGGGTGCGCCAAGACTCGTTTAGTAAAACTTTGAAGCAAGATACCATCATCAACTTGGACCAATTCACGCCGAAACAGTTCCGCCACTTCCAGTTTGCTTCCCTCAAACTTCTGTCTGCGCTCTTTGCCACTGAAGGACCCATCACCCAGGTCTTGGCTCATGCATTTTCATTTCAGATCAGAAGTACATGAACTAACATTGAGAAAAAGTGATACTCTTGCTGTGAAGTGTGAACTTGGGATTCATTTGATGAATCGTTGTGAAACTTAAGCCTTTTCTGCCAGAGCTGCATGAAACTAAAACTTCTTTTGAAAACTCGAAGGGGATACCACCATCGCATCATAATTGTCCCTTGAAAAAATCTTTGATGTCAGGTTGGGTGAGTGTTTCCCAACTTTGTTCCCAACCATATTACCCTACTGGGGGATAAAGCAGGTGACTGATAGGCTACAAATCTCTAATAGTTGACAGCTTAAACTCAGCAGCACAATCTTATGGTGTGGTCAGACATGCAAATAACCAGTTTTGATCTGAGACTGTGCTTTGAGTAGGGTTTAAGAGTCCGATCACCTTGGCAGGTTGAGAAGTACGACGAGGAGATGTCGAGGACCTTTCGGAACTTTCTGGAGGCCTTGCTGAAGTGGATCGATGCTGCAGGGCAAGGACTGACCGGTGGCTCATCCGATCCTGCCTCGTCTCGATTCTGGAAAGCCATAGTTCAAAAGAGTTGTGAACTCCTCGACAAGGTATGTTCATTTTCCACCTTGTTTTGCTCTCAGTGGAATGCCATTCTTAAAGAATTATCAGAACAGAGCATTATCTGAATTGCACTTGAGGAAAAAAATGTTGGGGAGTTGAATAGTTACTGGTATGTAAATCCAAGTCTAAAAATTATATCTGATTTTCATCAGTTTCAGGGTCAGATAGATTTGAATATTTGGGGAAATTTGGCTTTTTTTTTGGCTATGGAAACAAAGTTGGCTTATGTTGGGCAACACATGAAACTCAAAAATGTTTCAATTACCAAGAGTGAAAATAAATTGAAGCATGCCTCCTGTTTCCTCAAGGACTAAATACTTAGCATTTCATAAGGAATCCCATGATCGGCTGCCTTTCCATCCAAGAGCAAAACATATGGAAACAATAGGTTCTTTGACCTGTATTCAAACCAGTTATTTTCTTGCTCCCTCTTCATTCAAGACTTAATTTAATGAAAGTCTCAAAAGGGGGCTGGATACTTTTGTTCTCACTTCACTCACTCTCACTCTAGGTGACGAACCTGCTGCCTAAGGATGAGTTTCTGCCGGTGGTCCTCCCCCTTCTATCGCACCAGCAGCCATTCATCCGGCAGAAGATCCTGGAGGTCCTCGGCATCCATCTGGCCCGGCCGGAGTTTCTCGAGTCTCCTGGGGATGTGGGACCTCTTCTCTTGGCGTTGAGACCCCTTGTGGAGCCACGAAAGAAGGGGGCAAGGAAGAGGAAGGAGGGCGAGGAGGAGGATGTCTCAATCATCCCACAGCTGGCTCTTTACGCTCTGAGGCTGCTGTGTCGACTTGCCGGGTCGCAAGACCTGGAGTTTCATCAGGTTTGTTTTTTTTGTTTGTGCTTGCCCTTTTCCTGGAAAGTTTCTTGGCTGATTTTCTTCTACTCTGTGTTGTGTGGCAGCAAGAGGTTTTTGTCTATCTTTCCCTTAGTACAAATGTTTAAGCTTGCCTCATGTACTTTATAGGAGATGTTTGGTATCGAATTGGCTTTGATGGGAATCAGTGCAGAAATTCCATTTGATCTACCCTTCCTAACAAAAACCAATATGATGAGACAACCTCTTGTGTCTCTCACTGTATCCCTCAAATCCTCTTGTGGAGTGCATTCTGCCTATGTTTGCTGTCATGTGGGTATGGTCTAACAGGTGCCAAGTTCTTTAATATTACCTTACCTATATATAAGTCACCACCGAATAAGCTCCGCCACCACTTTACAGTTTTGACATTTTGCAAAATATATATATCCTGTGCTTGCTTTGGGATCTGCTCTAATTGTGCAGATCCTTGCACACATTGTAACCCATTCCTAGAATATTCAGAGGTCATATGTTTTGCACAAATCCCAAGAAAGGAGCCAGTAGTCCTGCGGTGATGAATGCAACTGAGTTTGAGCCCTATCTATGCACCTTACATGTGCACATCCACATCCACCTACAAATATTTGCTGTATGCTACATCCTTTGGTTCATGTCTCTCTGCATTCCTGTTGATGTACTGGCCAAGCACACACAGTTACCCTTTTATGGGGAATTGAGGTTGTGGATGCATCAGGGAACCACTTTGTTGGACATTTGCATTTCAAAAGCAGCTAAAACTATTCGCAAGTACAGTATTGACCTCCTATAGAATGTGATTTTTTTTTTTTTTTAAATAAAAGAAAAAAAAGAATGTGATAATTTACTTGGAAGCCTCTCTGGGTTATTTTGTAACATCTGCTTACTCTGTATGTTTCCCTTGTATTCTGTAAGCTGTACTCCCTTGTAGCTGGGTAGCAAAATTAATTTAAATATTGGCTTATACAAAAGTAATTTTAAGTGAGCTTTTACTATTGCTGACCCTAAGATATTATGGATTGTAATTCTTTGCTGAATTCAACAATGGGAACATGGGAAAACTATTGCCTTTGATGTGTTTTTTTCCCTTCCTTCCTTGCCAATTGAGAATTTGCTGTTTTCGGAGTAGTTTGTACCTGTGTTGAACAAGATGATTGAAGGAGGAGAGAGCATCCACCCAGCAGTTCTCGGCTCGGCCCTGCTCTGCGTGGCGGAGATCATCCGCAGCGCCCACCTCCTCTTCATCCCTCACATCAACACCCTCATCCCGGCGCTCCTCGGCATTCTCGACTCGTTCACCCGTCGCCCCGCGTGAGTCCACGGGCCTTCAGACTAATATACTTCTGATTATCAGTGATGAGAAGTATTATTCCATCCCCAATGAATGTCAAATTTGATGGACATTTAAAAAATGGCTGACTTTCTTGAAGTTAAAGTGCAGTGGCATGTATTGGTATGATGTACTACTCCTCTCAAATTGAGGCACATGTTCCAAGTTCCCATTTCTTATGGATTTAGCCTTATTTTCCCCTATTGGAATTGATATGAAATTTTTGTACATAGGGATTCTTAATACTGTAACCTGGAGGCATGTCCTCTTATCGATGTTTGTGAAATGCCCTTGACCATTTCTGTTGCCTGCTACTAATCAGTGAATTACAGTAATTCAGGCCTCTAAAATTTTCTCACCAACTTGGTATTAGTGAGTTTGTTTTGCAGTTGGACAAGGGAAAATCAGCTTGCATTGTGAATGAGAGGTAGGTGAAGTAGCACTCACCCTCCATGCAAGATTGCATCAGCTATTGTAAGCTATCAGATAATGCCCTGTGTCTTTGTATCAGTGTCTCTATGCAGGAGCTGCATATCTTGCTGCAGGGATGGGGGGGGGGGGGGGGGGGGGAAAGTTTTTTGCTGTATTACTGGAGCATCATCTATACTATCGAGGTACAAATTAATGTCATTGGGTGTGGTATTTTGAGTTTTTTTTCTCTTAACCCTGCAGTTTATCGTCTCAGTGCATTTCACTTAGAGTTTTTGCCCTGATGGTGAAAATTGGAAAAGTTTTTCTAGGTTTACGTTCAATGATATTATTTTATTTTCTGGCAACAAAAATCATTGAAGTCTTCCCATGAGAGAGTGTAAACTTGCTTGTACCAATCTGGGTTCCATGAATGTAGTACTTGGTATATGTGTAAGTTTTAAAGCTGAGGTAAGTAATGAGTAGGGCTCCTTCATGTAGCGTAATAGTACCTAGAGTATTTTGACTCGGGTATTGATGCATTGACTGGTTGAAAGTATTCATTGTCTTACTTGACCATATTGAAATATCACTATTTGAATGCAGCTCTAGCAGAGTGTCTTTGAGTGCCTGATGTTTTCCTCCCTATGTTTGCACACAGGATCCAGAAGACAGACTTGGTGCTGATGAGTGCACTGGCAGTGGTGCAGAGGGCATGCATCCATATCCCTGCATTCCTGAGCCCACACCTCCCTGACATCCTCTTCCATGTCTGCATCCTCATGGGCCATGCACAGGGGGAGGACAAGAAAGAAGACAAGGGGCACCGGACCTCCTCGGACAATCCCCCTTCCCTCTCCGGTCGACTCAAGGGCATCTGGTGAGCCTGATTGATGATTTGTCCTGTGTGATAATGATATTGAAGGTGAATCTTGGTAAACTTAGGGGCTGGAGAAACTATATGTTGCTTGCTCTCATGTTCTTGTTAACTATTTCTGCCATGGTTGTCTTAGGATATGAACTTGTCTCATCTGCTCTAATCATTGATCACATTAGAATTATCAAGAAGATACCATAGCTGATTGTATGCTTTCTTAATTTGTATTTATGCAAAAAATGCATGTGGCAGGCACAAGGTGCAGTGAACTAGCAAAATATCATGCTTGTATCTTGATTTTTTTTCTGTCCTATATATCATAGCAGTTCAGAAGCTAAACCTCAGGACTCAATATTAGTTGCATTTCATATTTATTATTCAAAGAGAAAACATTGAAGTATGTTGCATCGCTCCCATGCATTTGCGACTCATTCCAGTAGGTGAGCAGTACTTTCCATAGTTGAGAAGCCAGTTGAAGTAGTGGTCTTGTGAGATTCATTGTTGAGAGCTTATTTTGGCCTTGATGTCATAGCTTCTTCAGCAGTTGCTTACCCAACAGCAATGTTTTCTGACATGTTTCATTTTCATGTGTGCAGTGACTCCCTTTGTGGAACGACCATGACCGGGAAGTTGATCCCAGCGATCGAGGGTTGCTATGATCGCCTGAAGGAAAGGGGAGGGTCAAAGCCCATGGCCGTTCTCCTTGGAATGCTCTCTGTGCATCTCAACTCCCTCGACAAGATCCGCATCGCCGATAACCTTCAGGAACTCACTCGGTTCTTCATCAAGGTGCCCATTTAGAGATTGCTGAATAGCCAATGGATATGAATAACTTGCTTGTAATTTATGTGGATGAAGCATCAATGCTGTAATGCTTATAGCATAGCAGTTGTCAGCTAGAATGTCATTCTGGAGTCATATACCCTATAAACAGATTTTCCATGTTAAGTCTTTCAGTGAAAAATCTCGAGAAACCAGATTATTTTTACTCCACCATCTCCCATTTGCCTGAATGAAAAAAGATCTCTTGTATTGTACCTTAATATAAAAAGCTTCTCATAGTTTCTCCATTAAAACCATTCCTTTGATTCTGTTTGCATAAACTCACATGACTGTTATTTTGTGTTCTATTTAATTTAAAAATTTACCTTCAATTATTATGCACCCTTTAGTGGAGTGTGATGGGTAAAGAGATCTAAAAAGTGCTTTTCATTGTATATTGCATGCATTTGTAGCTCTGATGCAAAGAATGAGGGGGGGGGGGCTAGTAATGAGATCAGACCTGGTGGACTATGTTGATCTAAATATAGTCTGAAGTATGCAATTATTATGAGTCCCATCTGAACTATCATCTATTCTTAGAATAGGGATTAAAAATACTGTTCAAACAATATTGCTTGTGAAAGTTCTGTAGAACTTCAAAATCCATCAGACCTGCCTTCTTTCTTCTACGTCATGCATTGGCGATTAAGATTTAGAAATACTTTAAATGTATTAATTGTTATTATGTGACAGCTGCATATCACCTTAAAAGCTAATGTAACAAGTCATCAAAACAGTAGAAGTAGTTGTTAATTTTGTGGTTCATATGTTGTCATGCATTTTGGAAAATTTTGAACAAATGATATATCAAGAATGGTTTCACCCAGGAGGTTGAAATTTAGGAAGCATTCAATCCTTTACAATGCCTAAGATTTTAAATGCTTTCAAGTAAATCCATGACTTTTGAAGAAAAGGTTCACTGGTCTGTAGTCATTTGACATGGAATGAGTTCATTCAATCTCCTTCACACAAGTAGGTACACTATGGTCACCTTGATATCCAAAGGCCAATTGATTTGCTGAGAAAGGCAATGCACCCAAGAATGGTCTGGGTGACAGATGCAACGTTGCCAACAATTTTTTTCACATGTGTGGGATTTGCAAGGATTCTGTTCCATTGAAGGTGCTGAACTACCGGAGCGAGACCGGAGCGGAGCCATCATGCGAGGAGGTGGAGGGCGGTGCGATTGAGGCATTCCTTGCCCTCCTCTTGAAGCTGTCAGAGCAGACGTTCCGACCGCTCTTCTTCCGCCTCTACGACTGGGCCACACGACCTGATGCTCCCCCGTTACGAATCCTCACCTTCTACAGGTCTCTATTTCAGAAAGTATTCCTTCCCCTAAGTAGCACTTACAGTTTTTCCCAATTGCTAACGTCCGTTTCTTAAAACTACACTTCCGTTTTCAAAACAATTTGAACAAATCCCAGAACTCTGCAATCTTTTCACAAAACTTAACATCCGATTTCATTGCTAACGTACAAAAAGCGAAACTCGAAGTGCGATTTTCATATCTTCACGGACCTTTTTCGAAACTGAATGNCGAATTTAAGGCACTCGCGTCAAAACTTAACGTCCTTGCCTCAAAAAGTAACTTACGCTCCATTGAAAGACATTGGGGAGGTTCTGGTCGGTTTCGCTTTGTATGGCTGACAGGGCGGGCATCGATCCGCGAGACTCCTCGCCTTCCCATTCACAGTAATGGATCGTCCTGAGAGTTTTGCCGATGGTGCGTTAAGTTTTGACTCCAGGTACGTTAGAAATTGATTGTAGGACGTTCTGTTGTCCCTTTTGGAGAGCGGAAATTGAATCTCGACAGCAGTACGCACAGTTTTGACACGGGTACGTTAAGTTTTGAAAGTATTACATCATCACATTATCGCCTTTCCGTATTCGGAGGAATTATTTTCCCGGTCTGCTTCTTGGCTGTCCATAGACGTTCCTAACCCCGTACGTTAGAATATCGAAGAACGTACTTTGATTTTGACAAAGGGACGCCCTTTTGACTGCCGGACGCATAGATATGAGAAAAGAGCGCAGCGTTTTGCGGATCGTACGTTAAGTTTTGAAAAATGTCCATTGAGATATGAAATAGGACTTTAGCAATTGGAAAAAACTGTAAGTCCCCTAAGAGGTAAAAATGAAAGTATCCACATGGCAACTGGTCTTAGTGTTCCCTTTCAAATAAATTTGTTCCTAATATAAATACTGCAGATAATACAAATGCCAACTCTCTATAATGCCAGAAGATAACCCTGGAAGAAAATTGCTATATTCGAACAAAATTCTATACATCCTTTTTTGTCATGTAGCAGTTTCAGAGCATGGAAATTTCATGCATAGCAGTTGAAAAAGAATTTTTATTCACTCTGAGTGTAGTATCCTCAATTAGACTGGCTGTCTTCAGAATCTCCCAGATGCATATAGCTCTTCCTTTTGTAGTCATGGGGCTACAGTGGTGCAAGGTAGGGCAAATTGCATATGCAATGTATATTTTGATGGAATTCTTCATCTGATTAATAATAATTGGTTATGGATGTAAAGTACTGAAACCTGAAAAAATTGTCTATTGATTATCATTTCTAAATGAGAATTCCTATTCTACTTTTCTCAAAATAGAACTGCCTTGTTTTGCATGTGATGAATATTGTAAGGATTGAAAGGAAAATTGTATCCAAAAAAAGAAATTGGAAAATCAATTTGAAATATTTAAGATCCCTGCAGGTTATTATAAAGAGGTTAACGTAGAAATCGGCATTTGGTGGAATATGATTGTATACCTATATGGCAAGAATCAGAATTGAAAATACCTTCTATTGACAGGTTGACAGATCGCATGGCAGATTGCCTCAAGAGCCTCTTTGTGCTGTTTGCTGGAACATTTTTAAAACATGCTGCTGGTGTTCTCGCCAAGACCAAGAACGCCGAGAGCCTCTACTTCGAAGACGTGAGCGACCCCGGAGGCCTGACGGATCGGCTCCTCACCGTCGTCGTGGACACTCTGTCCAAGGTCTTCATCCACGACCACGAACAGTTCATCAATGAGGACCGCTTCAACATCCTACTCCAGCCACTTACTGACCAGGTTGAAGCTCTTTCTTCTCAGGGTTGGCTCTGGCCATGATCTCACCCTATGACATCACATTTTGAAAGATGCTCCCTGATTGTGGAACTCCCAAAGAAAGGCAACTTCAGGCACATTCTTCTTGGGAGTGGTGGTCTTTCATGAGTACAGAACAAATTGTCATGAGTGCAACTTGTGCTGGGGAGGTTATGGGTAAAAGGAGAAAAAGGTTTCCAGTACCCATGCCCTATTTGCCTTACAGTTGGTATGCAAAGATTGCTGTTTCCTAGTCCTGATTTGAAGATGTCATAATTGAAAAATGGTACATAAATTAATCTTATTGCAAGGTTGGTGAGGTAGGCTGTGAAGGATGGGAGGAAGCAAGACAGGAACCAGGAAGAAAGAAAGTTGAGTTATTAGAAAGAAAGGACTGTATTCTGAAAATCAATATTGGTGTTAACCCTTTGATGAGTGTTAACTTAGTACTCCTAAGGTGTTCAGAAAGAAAAATCCGTTGAGCCATTGAGCATATTACCTTTGTTTCATTAATTGTTGTTTCCTTTGTGCCTTTAGTAAATGCAAAGTGCTCAGCAGTTGCCATGGGATTAATGTGCTCGTGATGTTGTAGTCATTTTGTCATCCATTATCAGTGGCTTGAGTGTCTCACAGATGCATTCATTTACTGAAACAAACATATGAGCTTTCAGTAAAGGTAATTTTCTGATCAATTCCTGAAGGTTTCGAGATGATTAATTTTTTATCTCTTTAACATGAGTTGTGGGATAGTATGTATGTAAGAATTCTTTCATTCGATTTTTTACATGCAATTTTTGTCAATATTTATTAATTCCATTTTCCTTCATCGAGCAGCTCGAAAACGAGTCGAGCGGGGCGGAAGAGAGGATCCGAGATCACGTGGTGCCTTGCCTGGGGAACCTGGCCCTTGCAGCCGGGCGGGACTTCCTCTGGAAGCCCTTGCACTACCACATCCTCCTCAAGGCTCGACATCCCTCCTACCATGTGAGTTGCTCTCTGTCTTCTTGAAAGGGGTGGAAGATGTCCCATTTGGTGTGGCATCATTCTGCCCATCGATCTTCAAGCTGAATCAAGTTCAGGAATAGTTGTGGAAGGAAGCCAGAGTGGCAGCATTCATTTTGCGATCGATTTTGATATCCTGTTGAAGCTCTTTACTATGAAACTGCTTGGATGCTTTTATAATCTGGGAACTCCTTGGAATACTGTGGAGAATGGCATTCATTCCTAATGTGCCATTATGAAAATGGCTTATGATGCTGAAATGTCCTATGAGGGGGAAAATATGCAGCCATTGTTTCACTCAACTATGGCTTGAAATTATAGGTGCCTGCTTTATCATTTAAATCCTGGTGGAGTGTGATCCATGAATTCATATGGCAAGATGTAACTGGAGCTGTATTACTGGAGCATCATCTATACTATCGAGGTACAAATTAATGTCATTGGGTGTGGTATTTTGAGTTTTTTTTCTCTTAACCCTGCAGTTTATCGTCTCAGTGCATTTCACTTAGAGTTTTTGGCACTGGATTGATTTACTGCCTATAGGGCTTCATCTGAAACTCACATTTAATTTCTATAGGGATCAACTTCGAATTTATCAAGGTCAGTCTGTTGGAACACTTCTTGGAATTAAGACTGGATCCCCTCATCCTTATGCAGGTTCGGTATTTCAGAGCAAGGCATGATGGTTATTTTTTTTCCAAGCCTATTTTTTCTCAACATACAAGGAGAGGGATCCAATAAGCCCACTCGATACATAATTATGAAATATCACCAGAAGCAGTTATTATTATTATTATTAAATATTTTGAATAATTATTTCACTCTTAAATTTCTGCTCGAGGTGACATCTGAATCAGGGACTCCCCAAGTTTTTCGTATAAAATGGTTACTATGACAACCAATTATTTGTCTAAATATGGCTGTATCATTGTGACAATAAATATCGAAATTAGAGGTTGGTCTGCATAATGGGTTAGATTATGAGTGTTTAATACAAAAAAAACTACGAAGCCATTTAGGAATAAATTCATGATCGGAATCGTTAAAATGCAGTAACCAGAATTTCCTTGTGTCATGACAATGTTTCTCTCAGTGCTTGTTGGTATACTACTGCTTCAGACTTCGCTAAATACCTAGGTATATGCCAAGTCTCACCGATGTTGCTAAAATTTGCTATAGAGGGAGATTCTCATTAATGCAAAAAATCAAAGGGGTGCTTGTTCATTCGTTCTCCTCAACTGCCAACCATCTCCATTATTTTGCCAAATCCGCACTCGAGGACTGGGATTATGATGATTGGATTCGATCAGGTGCGTCTCCACGCGATCGCGGCGAGCCGGGCCGTGATGACGAAGCTGGGCCCGGACGGGCTCGTGCTGCTCCCGGACGCCATGCCGTTTTACTCGGAGCTGCTGGAGGACGAGCACGTGGAGGTGGAGGAGGCGGCGCAGCGGCTCATACGGGACCTGGAGACCTCGCTCGGCGAGGACCTGCAGCAGTACTTTTGATCCGGGTCTTTGTCTTTTTTTTTCTCAATGAAGGATTTTGAGATGAGTACCTGAGTTTCTGTCGTCGGTGGGACGTTTGAAAAATAAATTCTGGAACTCGAGAAAAATTTTTAGTTTCTGAGAGCACTGATTCAGAGTTGACGAAAAACACTGGTTTTTTCGTCGACATTTGCAGAGTTATTGATGCTGCTTGCTCGAGTGTTCTGTCGTGCAATCCACATTCAGTTATGCCATTCGTGAAGTTTTGTTTCTTAGGGTGAGGAAACAAACGCGTTACAGAATGCCTCCTCACAGGGCCGCATTGTTCTTAAGCGGGTCCGCGACATAAGGTCTAATCATGAATAGTCCAATAGTCAAAACGTCCACAGTATAATTGGTTCACAACAAGAAGGTCCCGAGTCCAGATCGGCTACAGGTCAGAAGGAGCAATTGCATAAAAGTCCAAAGTTAGTTTTCCGTCGTCTGCGGGAGGAGTTCCTCCCGATAGCTGTCAAAATTGCACATTGTGGACGATTCCACGGATATACTGCATTAATTCGCGGTTTTAATAATATTGTACTATTGACTTGATTCTGATGTCTTCTTGAATTTCTATTCGGCGTCTCTCCTTTGCAGGATACCCTGCCGCTACTCGATCTAGTTCCCTCTCAGTGTTGGCTTTTTCTTTCTGCAATTCCTGAAGCAGAAGGAACACGCTTATATGTGGTTCCTTGTTGAGGAAATTAAGCCTCCTATGCCAACCTTCGAGACCATTCGTTGTTCTTGGTTCATCTTGAAGTACCCTGGTCCGGACGTCATCATTCTTCCTCTCACCCACCACTAGCCCACCGTAGCAGAGAAGTTGGGCTCTCATTGGTAATATCTTAGACACGATGCCGTCCGGGCATTATAAAACGTAGGATTTTGAGGACTGAATGCATAACTTTAGATGTTCCGTTCCCCTGCGTAGGTTCGATAACATCGTCTGTTCGAATTCCTGTTATTTTCTCTGCGATGCCATTGGCAATCCTATACATTTCCTTCTGCTTTATTCACATTTTGCGCAGGCGAACCTTAGAACATTTAAAGACGAAGTAGTATCTAGACAAAATGGCAGTTAGACCATACGTCCTTTCTCCCTTTTGTCCATTGTACCTTAATACCATTCGACCATTTGTCTTTAGACGACATGACGCGCACCCGATCTTAAGCCCTTGTTTGGTAGACCTTCATGTTCTATGCCGCATGGTTGGCGATCGTCGTGAGAAATCAGTCGATCCCGGAAGGAATTTTCGACTTGGCTTCACTTTCTCTTCATTTATTCCATTAATCTCTTCCCACGAACTAGTGTGCTCTAAGAGGCCATATGTGCAATCCACGAGTCATTCTGCCGTGCCAATCATTAATTGCAATTTTAACGTGAAATTTGGCTCGACTTGGCAGAGGTGTAATGATCTCATTGCGGTGTTGGAACATTTAACATTGAAATATGAGGAGTAGACGCGCCATTGAATGGGCAGAATGAACTAGGGTATTTCAACTGGAGAAATTAAGTTTCATCGGGTTTAAGAATTCCCATATTCAGACATCTTGGTCCGCCATAAATCGATTTCCTCTGTCTAAATTCACTCGTCTTCATTCTCAAAAATTAAAATAAAATACAGGAGTAAAGTAATATCAGATGCTTTCAGACTCGACAAGGTGAATCGTCGGGGGCGGCCTTTCCCAGATTCGAGTCCTTCGAGAATTCCAGCTCGCTAGTAGTGGTCCAGACGGCGGGTAAATCGTCTGCCTGCGGGGACAGACCGCGGAACTTGTAGGTGCGGATGTTGATCTTCATGTACCTTTTCAGCCTGGCCTTCATTTCTGGGACCCTGTAGCAATAGAAGATGAATATCCCGATGCCCTAGAAAAAATAGAGGAAACCTGTCATTTCCCTGCAGTCCTGTATGACTTGTGAAGCGTTGCCATCGAAGGTACCGCTGATTCACCTCCTCACAAAAGCCGGCTCTCGAAAAGTGTTTTTAACCTAGGTTGGCGTCAGTCGCAAGGAGGACTTCTGTTTACTTTTAAAACTCGTATCTTTGTCATCTTTTCTGAAAATGGCTCACGTAATTGGTAAAGCAGCGAGGATAAGAGGAAAGTTAAATATTTTCCAAATAGCCAATGACGGAATAGTTTGTTTTATTCAATTGCCATCTGTCGCGAAAGAATTATTACTTGTTTTACGGAAACCGACGAGGCGAATCTTGGAAATCATAAAAAAATTGAACGTGCACACGTGCAAAGTTGCATTTTTCGAAGTTTTTAAATTGAATTAATCACTGTAATGATGCTATCCTTCTAGCGCGTTTCCTTGCTCATTGAAGTGATCTCGCGCAATTCGAACTCGCTTTTCTTACTCCTGTCGACACAATTGCCATGAAGTGACGAGAGATTTTGAAGTTTGCACGAACCTGGCACCCATTGATGATGACGAACGCGTAGGAGAAGACCGGCGACAGCTCCATTTGTAGAACGCCAAATAACCAGCCGGTTCCGAGGAGACTCGTCAGCGAGAAGATTCTCGTCATGTTATTCCTGCAACCGAGTCGCGGCAGGTCGGTAGGTCCGAAGGGGGAAAACGTCACGAACGCTGCACGAACTCACCTGTGACTCCTGTTCGCCTGATGCTTCTGCATCCCGGTCGGCATCTTCTGGAGCTGCCTGGCTTTCGTCATGACCCGCACCATGAGGACGGTGTTGAGGACGAGGATCAGGAGGACCGGCGCGGCGAACGCCCAGATGTAGCCGGACGGGGAGAGCCAACAGCTGGGTACGTAATATCGATAAGTGCAGAAATCGTCAAAATTCGGCAAAAAAGGAAACCAAAGGTGTCAGGATTCTGCACGCGTTATGCTCGCAGCCATTTCGTTTGGTTATTTTGGTAAATATCAGGGGGGAAAAACTTGAAACATCTTGGAGCTATGAGTTTCCCCTATTGCACTTGCCTTTCCCCTGAGATATTACAAATAAATGTCTCTCAGTCCGAGATGACCGCCGGATGACCAGACGGCACATCTGGCACAAAGTGGAAGGATGACGTCACAAAACCTCGTTACCCAAAGCCCACCATCCCACCTGCCGAGTCTCAGTCCGGCTCTAAAATTCAGAGGAGGGAGCTTCGCTTCCTCCCTCTCCTGGGTGGGAGGGAGAAAGCGAAGAAGCCTTGCGCCTGCTCGTCTCGATCGCCTGGGCTGCGATACTCCGCGCCTAGGAAGACGGGAACTCCATCGCTCATTTTATGGAGGTCTTGTCTTCTCTTCGTTTCGCTCTTACCTTCCGCCAGAAAAGGGCGGAATGAATGAAACAAATGAAATATCGAAGCAGTTATTTACGGATTCCTAATAGGCCACAGATGCACACAGATTATCTCCCTTTTCAATCCCCAAATTGCACAAAAATGAGAGAAACATGAAAACACCCCATTCTTGCCCAGAGTAGGCATCGATGAAAGGTATGACGAGCCATCTTTGTAACACTCACTCACAAATTTGTTCACTGATTGGAATACATCTGCTCCATACATAAGACCAGTAGATTAGTCGGTAGACCTCGCAAAAGGTGGAATGACTTTTTTATTTTTTGATACGAGAAGTTCAGTTGTTCGGCTTGAGTCCCAGGATCGAGAGGATTAGAGGATACTCGAATTTTTCTACTTGAATTGTTACCCCATTGTGCTAAAAGGTGCAGGAACAAAATTCATACCTTTCTTCGAGATGGAAGCTCCACACGTGCAAATTGTTTCCCCAAGCAAATATATTTACGTCGTATGAAAGGTCCAGCCTTATACGAAAAGATAAAAGGCTCACAATTCCCCATCGCCGTATCCTCGCGTCCCCGTGCCGTATGACACCCCCACGGTGACGCCAACGACGAGCACCGGCACCGCGTACCCCGTCGAGAGATAGAACCGAAACGAGACGAGCCTCTTCTGAACCAGGTGGAGCAGTCCGTACAGACGCCATCCCTCCAGCGCCATCCACGTGAAGGCGCAGAGGAACGCGAAGTGGAGGGCAATCCCCGACATCTCGCACGCCAGCTGTCGAGGACGATCGCGCGAGGACGTTAAGATCGGACGTCGCGCCCGCTCGGGAGAGCGAGTCGCGACGTACCGATGGCATCGGGAAGAAGTGGCGGTCGACGACCGATAACACCAGGAGGTATCCGACGAGCAGCCAGAAGCACAGCTGCTGGTGCAAGTTCGGCCCCAGATTCCGTTCCTTCGCGGACTTCCTGTCGATCGACAAGCAAACGATGTTACGGAGCAAAATGGAGCTTTTCTCTGGCACGAATGCGTTTCGACGAACTTGCTCTTCTGGAATACGAAGATCGCCAAGACGAGGCAGACGATGGAACAGGGCAGTAACGTCAGAGTGCATATTTCCAGGACCAAACCTCGGCCCTGAAATGAGACAAAAATAATCACGAACATTTATTTATTATTAAGAATTATTATGATTAGTATTTTCCTTTTTTTTAAATTGCAGCATCCAGTCGTTCCAGAAGAAATATAACTATGAAATCCCAAGTCGCATCTGCATCTGCACGAATCCGATGGCGGACTCACGACATATCCGTGGAGACTCATCAGCACCGCAAAGTTGCTCAGATGAGTCGTCTCGCAGACGGTGTCGTCGCGGTCGGCGGATGTCGTCCTCAGACCCTCTCCGTCCCAAAATCCCCTGCACATTTTTTTTTCAAGATTTGCACGGCAAAATAGGAAATGGAAGTTTCCGCAGGAAGTTTTCTCACTTTCCGTCGAAGTTCCAAAAGGTGCATCGCTCCGTTTTGGGAACGAACGCGGGTTTCTCTCCCTCGTGCAGATCCCGCCAGATGTCTCTGTACGGCGGATTTTCCGGCGGCTGGTCGTTCCGGAACGTCAGGGTCGCCGGGCTCTTCAGCGCGACGACGGTCCCGTTCACGGTCAACGAGAAACTCATCATCTTCGAGTTCACGGCTAGATCCGCTCCGAGTCTGGCATTTCGGTAGGTTCTTTTTAGCGCTCGCAGAAA